GAATTATACGGCGAGCTTCGTATTCTCGATTACGGATAGCCGAGGTAATTCCTAGAATAACGGTAATAAAAGCTAGAACGGTTAATACGACGGAGGTATTAAACGGAACCGCCGGAACGGCCGGGTTAAAGAAAGTAATAAAGGCGGTAATAACTCCGGAAGCCGAGAAAGCGTTACGGCCTCGTCCCTATCCTCGTTCTCGTCCTACGATATTATTACGAGTCGGAATAATAATAATAACGGCCGCTTAGGTTACGCGAATAATAACGATATTACTAGAAAACGTAACTTAATATACGCGAATTTAGGCTCGGGTTTTACGCGAAAAAACCTTACGAATAATTAATATAACTAAGCGGTCGTCTTTCTCGATTATTCCTTCGTATAAGAAGGAGAAGTTTTCCTTAAAGGATTTCTCCTTAAAGGATTCGTCGGTAGAGACCTTAATAACTCGGGATACGATACCTTAAGAAACGCGAGTAACTAAGGCTTAGGTACGTTATACTAAGGCGCTAGGTACGATTATATCGACGTCGCTTTCGTCGATAAAGGGATCCTTAAGAGGCTAAGCGATAACTAAGGCCCCGGACCCGGGAATAGAAGGTATTTTTCCGCGACGAGTAGGATTACCGGCCGAAGTTCTAACGCTACCTCCCGTACGAATACGGAAAATAAGCTAGGAGCTCGCGGCGGAAAGGCCGAATATCCTTTACTCTAGCGAAGCTACGATACCTTAAAGCGCTAGTATTATTTTACGAAGCTCTTAAGTATCGGATATATTAAGAGATCGTTAATTACGGTACTATATTATTACCGATAAATAACGAATAAATAATAAACGGATTATTTCGAATAACTTTTTATTTATTAATATAAAATAACTAATAGTCGCTTTATTATCCTAAGATATTTTAATATTAAGAATAATATATTAGTCGTAAATAATAATCCTTACCGTAATAAGTTAAGTTATTATCCTACGGTCGCTTAATAAGAATATATTACGATTCGTATAATACGTAAGTTACGTTTTACGTAAATTATAAAGGAAGCGGACTTACTTTACGATAATAAATTAACGAAGCTTTATTAGTTATATTAACTTACGATCGCGTAATTAATAAAATTACTTAATTATAGTTAGGGATATATACCTATAATAAATAACCTAGGGAAGAAAGGAAAAGAAAGAAATACGCTTAATTCGAAAGCGAGAAATCTTAGATATATTTATACTTAACCGCTTTCGTAAAAGAAACGATAGAATCGGTTAGCATAAGTAACGCGCGCGAACGCGCGCGATAATAATAAAGGAGATTAAATCCTAGTATTAATACTAAAATTATTATTATTACTATTATATTACCTATATAATTAACTACCGCTTAATCGAAAGCGAGTAATTATACGAATAATTATACGAATAATTATTTTCATTTATAATAAACTATAGAGTATTAAGTAAGGGATACGAAGAGTATATAACTTAAGAGAAAATATTACTAGTAATAAACCGGAATATATACGGATAAGGGAATATAAGGAAGCCCGAAATAAAGTACCTAGTAATCGATTAATCTTAACGAGGTATAGCGAGACTAAGGAATAACCCCTTAGGCTATTATCGTAAGTAAAGGACTATAGTTAACCTTACTATCGTAAGCTTAACTAAGGGATATATTACGTAGGCATATACCCCTAATAGGAACTACTTAGCTTACCTAAGCTAACTAAGTATTACTATATATACCTATAGATCGCTTTATACTCTCTAATAGCTTTACTTCTTTTCTAGTTAGTTAATATATACCTTCTTATCCTTATTTCATTACTTTCTTTACGAATAACCTATTAACCTAAGCTTAGCTCTCGCCAGCTACGTAATAAAAAGATATATATAAGATACGGCTACTTAAACGGAATAATTACCGATAAGGGAAGCTTATTTACGAACGACTTTTAGTCTAGCTTATATTACTACTCGAAGATAAAGAAAAAGTTCTCGATAACGTACTACCCGTAAATGAACGAATAAACGGAAAGGATAAACTAGATATTAAAATACTACCTCCGATATTTCGTTAGCGATACGTAAGCGAATTAACCGAGTATATTAAGCGAAGTATAATTTACTTATAATAACGTAAGGGACGTAATAATAAAATTATTATTATTTATATTCCTAATAAGGTATTACTTAATAATAAATTCTAACGTTAGGAACGACGTCCTTAAAAGGAAGGTACCGGTAGTAAAAGAAAGGATAGAAATCCTAGAAAATATACGCGAAAAGGTACGACTATATTAATAAAAGGCTATCGAATCGTAAGCGAAGTATTATAATAAACGCTATAAACCCCTTAAGCTAAAGAAAGGAAGCCTAATAAGGTTTTTTACGAAGAACCTAAAGCTTAAAGGTATAAGCCTAAAGTTAATACCTAGATTTATCGGACCCTTCCGGATTTTCGATACTATCGGGTCGGCGGCGTACCGCTTAGCCTTACCCGAAAAATACTAGTCGCTATATAATATCTTCCTTATTTTTTTATTAAAACCTTAGAAAATAAGGAAGTAAGAATAAGAGCCTTAGTTCCTAACTATACCGGAACTAAAAGAAAACGACGACGAATAAAAGGTAGAAAAAGTCCGGGAAAAGCGATAAAAAAAAAAGGATACCTTTTATTTAATAAAATAAACGGATTAGCCGTTAGAATATAACTAATAGATTCGGAAGAAAGATATAGATAACGTAGCGATTAAAATTAAGTAATTCGAAGTAAAGGATTAGAAAAAGCGGAAAAAGAAGTCGCCTTAAAACTAGGAGTTTTAAAATTTCCCTAAAGGAAATACCTAAGAACTACTTTATAAAATACTTAAAGGCGGAAAAAGGAAACGGCGATAAAACGCCGGAGCTTTATTAAAGTATTATTAAAACGATATTAAAGCGTCGCCGTAGCGACGGAAAAATTAAAAAAAGAACCGCGCCCGGCTTTATATTATTAACGCGTCGTTTAATCGTTAGTAGGAAACTCGGGAAATTCGTTTTAATCGCCGAAGTATTCTATATTAATTAAATATTCCTTTATAATTTCGTTTAACTCGCGTATAAACGCGTCTTTCGCGTTAATTTAAGCGGAAAAGCCCGCGTCGCCGCTTATTAAACGGTAAATAACTTAAAGCTACTACCGAACGAAGGCGGCGTCGTTTTAGAAACGACGGTTAAACGATACGATAGATACGAAACGGAGGTTACTTACGGTATCGAGGCCTAGGTACGGATAGCGAGTAACGAAAAGATTACGGCGGTTTATTACTTATAACTCGTACTCCTAGATCCTTTATATATAAGAATTAATACGCGCGATATATATAATAAACGCTAACGCGTCGATAGCGCGTCGCTATTATAGGGATAACGTATCGCGCGATTACGCTTAGTATTACTCTTATAAAAATTAGCCCTATAGTTCTTCTTTATTTACTCGAAAGCGTAAAGGAAGCGGTAAACGAAGGCGACGAAGGCGTCTCGTAAGTAGGAAAAGTATACGAACTTACTAGGCTTATTATCCTCGTCGGTTTTTACCGTATAATAACGGTTAATAAAGTTAATTACGGTAAATAAGCCGCGCGTATCGCCGGTAATACCGTTAATTAACTATATCGATACGTTAGCGAAACGCGTCCGGAACGCGCGTTATAATTATAACTTACCGGAATATATTCCTTACGGCGGTAGATATAAAGGCCGTACTTCGAAGAAGCGGCGTTAGGAAATACGTATAGGAAGCGAAACGATATCTCGAAGTACTTTAGGCGATACCGGAAATAAATTATATACGGTAAATCGGTATTTTCTACCGGCGTAACGTATTCGATAGGCGGGTTATAAGTTATATTAACGACGGCGTTTCGATTATACTACGCCGGGCTTAGCTTAAGAAGGAAAAAGGAGATTAAGGAACGGCGTACCGTAGGCGTATTAATAATAAGATAAAGGAATAAAGATAATAATACGAGGATACGTCGACGATTCTTATTTAGTTATTTAATTAAAAGAAAGTAAGATAGGTAGACGTAGTAAGAAGAAAGAGAGCTAACGGATAAAAGAAAGGGAAAAAGTTAAGAAGAATAAGCGTAACGATAGAAAAATTTTATATACGCCTAAGAAATAACGGTTAACGGTATTAATCGGTAGAATTAACTAGCTATATTAATAAAGCCTAATTTAGCATTTAATACCCTAAGGTAATTAATAGGATTAATAATATAACGCAGGCGATACTATATCGATTCGTAATCGAAACGATTACTTAACTTAGGAAGGGATAATTATAAGGAAGCGATAAGAAGGTACGCGATAAGTACGAGGATATAAGGTACTATAATACCTATACCGGTACGAAGGTACCTCCTAGGTAGTAACCGTTTTAACTTATCCCGCTTCTCGCTATATAGGCGACCGCTTATCGCTAGGTACTCGCCTTCTTATCCTTTTAGAAGGTAAGTACTTATTTACGTTACTACGGGAAAATACTTATTACCTGGCTTAAGGATTCCATTATAGTATTATAGTTTTAAGAGCTATTTACTAAGTAAAAGTATATAAATTAAATAAATAAAGCTATACGAGAAGAAAAAGAAAGGAATGCACACTTTATTAAGACTGCGCCTCTAAGAGTTAACTATATTGAACAGGAGCAGCGTAAGCACGCTGTGATAGAGGCACGAACAACTGCCCAACTGCTAACAACTAGCTCAGTGCCGATCAACCAAGATCATAGCTGTAAACAGCTGTAATCAGTTGATCGGCCAGCTGAAAACGGCAGCTAGGAAAGAACTAGAAAGAAAGGATAGAATGAGGAGGCTAGAAAGGCATAGCAAGAAATGAGTGAATAGAGCTATCAGGTCGTGATGCCTTTCTAATAGCTATAGAAGTAAGTCTAACTGATGAAAATATAAGTGCGAGACTTATATAAATACACATCCAAAAGGCTACGTAGCCTAGATCCACCGCACTACTACACTAGTCTTTTTCGAATCGCACAGCTAAGATAAATACGACTAAGTATTCTACGGTAACTCTCTATCCCAACTCCAGAAGTCGAAGTAAACCCGGACTTGGCAGACTGTAATCGATCGGCCGCGATTCGTTTTGCCTGTGTATGCCATTGGATCAGGGACTTTCCATTAGGTACGTTGGAGGTTTAAACGAAGATGTCTTCCAAGCTCTCACCTCCTAACACGCCAAGGTGAGAATCCTCCACACAACGACGCTCTCTCCGGCGGTAAGACAACCTCACCAAGCTTCTCAACCCTTTCAATTTGTACAAAGCCGTCCCACCGGACATCGCGAATCGGCACATTCATATCAACGAAATACAATGTCACCAACGATATCCAGCAAGTCACTCCCCTCGTCGGAATCTGCAACCTTTACCGACTCTTCATTCTTCTCGCGGAATGGGCCGGGCGCCCAGCTGCCATCACCTGCAGACGTTCGCGCGAGGAGCGCAACGCAGGCGAGATGGACGCGTAACTACGCCGAACCACCGGCCCGCTTCGAAGAGCTCGGCCTTGTCGTCAAATTTGGAGGTACACCCGGAGTAACAGTCGCCGAGGGCCAGTGTCTCTGAGCGCTCCGTCACGCATTGCCAAACTTTCCTGTTCCGGAAATCTATGGCTGGACGCAGGACGGCGGCGAGGTCTTCATATAGGTATATGGAACTGGTGCAAGGCGTTACTTTGGAGGACAGATGGGTTACTCTAGACCGGACTGGGTGAACCGACATCTGCACGCAACTTCGCTAGCTCCTCGCAATATTGCGCAGCCTGCGACATGCGCCGGACGACGGTTTCTTCCTTGGCCATGTGAACCGTGAGCCGTTGGGCGACATAGTTTTCACCAACGAAAATCGGCCCCCCGCAGGGCCTTTCCAGTCCGTTGCCGAATTTCACGACTGGCTGTCTTTGCAGACCGGGACGGGCCTCGAAGCCCACTGGCCCGGCAAACAACCCTGGGAAATTCCGGATCCCTACCGGGACGGCTTGCCCGACAATGCAGCGGTAGTCTTTACGCATGCGGATCTACATCCGAGTAACATTATCGTCTCGAGATGTTCGCCATGTAAGATTGCTGCGCTCATCGACTGGCGGCAGTCGGGATGGTATCCGGAGTACTGGGAGTGCTGCAAAGCTTTCTACACAGCTGAGGTCCGTGGCGAATGGATGGAGAAATATATCCCGCTGTTTCTCGATGAGCCTGCCTGTATCGACACCTTTGACGACTATGCGAGGACTTTTGGGTACTGAGGAGATGATGGTTGGGAGCTTGGGTGCGTAAAAACGTGATGGAGCCATGGAGCGCGAGAGTGAAGGATATTTGTTAAAAGAATTTCTACCTAATGCTTAATTTAGGTGGTCCTTAAAGGGGTGGCCCGTAGAGGGGTATAAAACGAACTTTCTTATGCCCGTTACGTCTGTCTTCTACCCTCAGAAGCAATGGCCTCTTCGAACGCGCGGGTCATCCCATAGTAGAGCTTATCTGCAGCTTCGAGGGAGTCGTCGGTCCCTGTCCAAATTACCCCATCTCTTAGGGGAAATAGAATTTGGTGTAGGCTTTCGGCCAGCGGCTTCAGGGAGTAGAATCCGGGAGTGAACTCGTGCAAAATATCTCGAAAGCCGTCCGGATCCATGTCAAGGGACTTGCGTAGCGCCAGTTCGCTCCAGTCGCCGTCGCTCCATTGTCGGAGCCTGCTCGCCTCTGGAGGATTCTCCGTGTGATTCGTGATGATTGTCCACAGAAAAACGTAAAGGAAAGACTCGAGGTCGTGCCGATAAGTATGACGTTTACTCTTGAGAACGCCAATCGCCATAAATGGTCTGGTGCCGGTAATATCAGACTCCACCTCCTGCCCTTCGGTGAGCTCGAGTGCGGAATCGAGGTCTATCAAGATTCCCTTCGGCTTCCCTTCGTCTTGGCTATCCAGAATAATCACGTTCCCCGGAGATATATCTTGATGAAGAATCTTGGCGTCATAATAGAGTGATCTGTGACACTTGATAGCATCACGAAACACTAGAAGCAATTCTATCAGAGACTGAAATGTATGAAGGGGTCTGCCGACGGGGGAAGTAACCATGCAGGCAAGAATGCGGTTTTGAAGGAAGTTATCGGTTTCTTCTGTATATTGATCAAGCCCGTCGGTATTAAAAGCGTCTTGCTGTCGTTGCCCCTCAATACTTCCGTGTTCCTCCTCCTGAGAGTGCGGCTGGGTGAATTTTCTTTGCGCCCCCCACCGGAGACTTCGACGCAGATTTGCTGTACTTTCGACTTCCTTGTAATAATCCAGGGAGACGGCACCCCAGGCGCGTTTTTCCTTGGCTAGCCTTAAAAGCTCATCTTCCGGACGCTCCCTGGCCCATCGCCATTTCCACTTCAATATATAGTTCCATGGATTCGAATTAGACGTTCTAGCCCGGTAGCAAGTTGTCCCAGCGCCAACAAGTCCCCCACGAGATACAATCGGCTGACTTTCGAGATAGAGCTTTCTAGGAGAGGGCATGGCAACATCGTCAAGGATGATATAGCTGCCATCCTCATCTGTCTCGATGCTGTTGGCTTTGCCTAGGTCATGGTCTGTCATCCGCTGATAGGTAAGAATAATGGAGAGAAACTGGATGAAGTCTTTCTGAATGTCGAATACTTCGCTACAATATAAGCCGGATCTGTCGAAGACCCAAAGTTCGACCAGCGAGCCACGTATGTAGAAGCCATGCAAAAAGAGCCGCGTAGGCTGACTAGAAAACACCTGGTGTGCGGACCGGCAGAGACGTAATAGCCCATCCTGATACCGAACGCGGCCGCGGCGGCAAAACTGGCCAATAACCTGAACATGGTCCCATCTCGTCTGGACGTTAGAGACGAGCGAGGTGGGTATGGATAAGAGGAGGCCAGCACCATCGTCGGTACTCTCGGGCTCGAGTGCCACATTACCGCTAGGTATTGTATGCCATGAGCCCCGAGCGCCGTCAAGCTCACGAGATACATAGTAGGAAAACCATGGTAGGAAATTGTCGGGTGACGGAGCAACTGATGGAACAGCACAGCGGCCGGCGATTCTTCCGTCCACCAGGATTTCCAAGACAGCACCTTGGCGGACGTATTGAAAGTCGCCGAAATATTTTTGAATAAATCCGCTCATGGGGCCGTGCATGCGGCCATCTATGTTGTCGAGGATTTCTTGGTCATCGGTGGAGGAGACCAGCGGAGCTGGTGGACGATTTAACACCGTATGGTGATTCTCCATGACCAAGGCTGCCACTGCGTCGTGCGAGGAGGATTGCACAAAACCAGCGAGTTGTTCACATCACCGGCGAAATCTGTGGTGTCGGCAACGTCGCTGTATGCGGGGGACTAGGGGACTCTGGTCTGGCGCCGAGACTGAGAGTTGGCGGTGGATGGTTGAGGTTGCGATTAAGAGGGCTTCTAGGTACGCACGAATAGAGACCCAATCGAAATTTGTGGCTAGTAAAGTCGATAAGGCCACTTTATTCCCGCGGAATCCTCGACGTTGAGCGATAGGGCACACGAGTGTATTAAATGTAGGTAAAGTAGAGAGAGCTTCAATAAGACGCGGCGACATAAGAAGCTTCCTCTGAGAAACATGGCTAGTCTGTATCTTCTATGACTTGCGCTGAATGAAGGGGGCTCATTATGATACTGGGGAAAAACACTTCTCAGAGCCCAAGACTCGGAAAACCAGGATCTCATGTCACCGCCATTCCGAGCCAGATCTGATACCACGGAGAAGTTGGGTCCTCTCTCGGGGTGCCGTGGTTTTCGGTTGCGCTGGAAATCGGGACTGGTCGGCGATACGGTCCACTAAAGTCCTTCTAGGATCGCTAAAGCTTAGTGGAGTTGTCACTGTATCTGCCTGTATTTTTAGTAGATAGGTATACCTAATTTTCTGCCCGATTAGCAGACGAAGGCGGTGAGAAAACACCCCGCTTTCTCGCCTCAACGCTGCGGCCATGGATAACGACGCCCCCGCGCCCCCGCGCCCCCGAGAAATACTGCCACATTCTCCGTTCAACCCAACGTCTCTTCTATCCCAAGCTCCTGCGGCCCCAGCAAGCCAGAAAGGCCGTCTTAACATAGATAAGCTTATGTGCGAGTCCTTTGCCGATGGAGAAATTACAGAGGCTATATTGGAGGAAGCATCGAAGCTCTTCAGCGAAAACTACGGAATCTGAGGGAACGATTTGGGCCGGCCAGGTTCGTAGCAGGATCTGCTCCTGCTCCTCACTAACCGACTAACCGCTTCTCCAGGAAAGCCTGTCAAACTTAGTGGACGCCGTCTGAAAGAGAAATGGCTGCCTGAATCCGGAACGAACTCATACGCTAGGGTTACTGTCGGCGGACAGCTGTCTGGAAATGTCTTCTATTGCCACTGGGTATGCAATGGCAAAACCATTTGCTGGATCACTCAGTTGGTGGTTAGCAGAGACTGCCGTGAGCGCGGGCTTGCAAGTACTCTATTGACCCTTCTCCGGAAGGCAGACGACGACGTCCTCGGCATCATCGCTTCTCACCTAGCTTCATGTTTAGCAGCTGTTCGATCGCTTTCTAGTACGTATAACAAAAAAGAAAAATGTGCCATTCCCCCTCTAGCGTTTCGCAGCAAACATTGAGAAGCTGTCACTGGGCTTTATACGCGAGAATGTCGCCGTGGTCATAAAGTTTTCGCCAATCGTGTATGTTAGAGATGCGGAGCTATGCAGTTCTCTCTTTAATAGCGAAGCCTCGGAAGGTCTCGTTTCAGGCGTAAACACTCATTTCTTCGTCGACCATGACGAGCCTCTAGAAGCCCTAAGTTCAGTTCGAGAGATTTGGCAATGGCCGCTGGGCGACCTGCCGGATGGGCATGAGTATCTGCTTATACTACCCGCGAAAGCCCGACCGTCTAGCTCACGACTATCGCTCAAATCTTCACTAGGTAGTTAGCTCCTTGATAAGTTGGTACCAACACAGAGGTCCAGCAAACTTGTCGAGCTCTGTACCCCCTTTCTTGCCTTTCATCAACTGAGCGTAGCACCACTCGTCAAAGAGCAGGCCAACATAGGTCTAGATAATAGCTCGGAATGGGTGTTGCGATCACGCACGCCTATACGTGACAGCACCGTTTCCTTATGTGCTGATCTTTTACGTAAAAGATGAAAAGTTCTATATTACCTTCGGTAGATAGACACATGGGATATGCTGCTGGAGATGCTGTAATAGTCGGCTGCTGCTACAATGGTTCGCCGGCACGCCATGTCGTCGTAGCATTGCACCACATGACCCCTAGGGATGACCAGGCCGTATTCACACTCCAAATCTCAGACAGATGCTGTAAAGTAGCGGCGGTGCCACTCAGAAGAGAGAAGAAGCATAAGTAGAGAAAAAGGCGAGCAGAGGTGCTCGTCACTCACGTATTATATAATATCGTGCCCAAGACTCGAGCCCCTGCCAAGCCTTGGACACCCGCCATGCCTACCACCGCGTAAAGACTTTCCATCGAGACATGTCCTCAGCGACACTACCGCCTGACTAATGAATGGCGCGAGAGATTCCACTGGAAAGGGGTACGCATAAATGCCGCCCGTATAAATAAGGTGAATTCGTCAGCGTCCCGGTCCCCCCGACACATCCCACCATTTACCCGGACCTCTCTTCTCTCGTCCCTGCCGTCGACAACAACCCCGATCTGGACATCCCCCGCGACTCGTTCCCTGAGGGAAAAGCTTGTCTCGCTCGTCTGGCGAATCGTGGATTTTCGCCGCCCTATAGCCGCGCGGCGTTATACGGCAGAACCCCCTTTTCCCGCGCCAGATCCAGATCCCGCCCCTGAGCAGTGGTCGGCTTCGCAGAGACGGCTCGTTGACCGTACGAGAGAGGCAGGCAGTTCCAGCTCGGCACTGCGCAGAGGAGCTAGGATGTGACCTCGCTACTTTATCCCGGCGGCGGGCGTGGCCCTGGGTCGACGGGGGGATGCGCGGCCCCTGGCCCTGCTCTGGATCAAGTACTTCAGCAGCCCACGACCTCGCTCGCCCCGGAGACTCGCGAGTTTGGGGAAAGAGTTGTGCGCTTCGAGCACTCGACAGCGTGAACGACTCGGCCCAGCTCGATTCCAGAACTTTTGAAGAAAAAAATGGCCGGAGGCTGGGGTCTCTCGCTGGCGGCGGCGGTGGTGGCCATCGCTTGGGCGGTGCGGGCGCAGAACTACCCGCTGGTGGCGGACTCGCGGTGCAACTGCTACCGGACGAACGCGACGGCGCCGGAGTACTTCGCGCAGCACCGGTTCTTCGACTTCCGGGAGCTGGGGGCGTACGCGGGGGCGGGGGCGCCGGCGGCGATCGAGGACCCGGCGGCGAGCGCGGCGGCGCCGGTGACGAGCCGCTACTTCGAGGAGGCCGCGTGGACGAGCGCGTGGGCGATCCAGCGCTGGAACAACAGCGCGCGGACCGACGGCGACGCGACCGCGCTCATGGTCAACTCGCCCAGCAACGTCTTCCTCGCGCGCAACGACGACCCCCGCCCCGCCTCCCAGACCTACCTCGTCCTGCGCACCGCCCGCCACGCCGCCTTCCAGTCCGCTGCCGAGATCGAGTCGCGCTCGCTCGGCTACCGCTTCCTCTCCGTCCGGATGCACGCGCGCACGCGCGGCGCGCCCGGCGCCGTGACGGCCATGTTCACGTTCCGCGGCGCCGCCGCGCTCGCGCAGGTGCAGGAGGCCGACCTGGAGGTGCGCACGGCGGACCCGCCGCGCGCGGTGCAGTACACGAACCAGCCGTCGTGGGATAGCGCGGGCGACATAGCGGCGGCGACGCGCAACGTGACGCTGCCGCACCCGGGCGGGTGGTCCGCGTGGCAGACGCACCGGCTCGACTGGACGCCCGGCGCCAGCTCCTGGTTCGCCGACGGCCGGCTCGTCGCCCAGATCCGCTTCCAGGCCCCCCGCGACCCCAGCCACGTCATCTTCAACGCCTGGAGCGACGGCGGCTCCTGGAGCGGCAACATGTCCCGCGGCGCCGCCGCCGAGATGCACATCCAGTGGATCGACCTCGTCTACAACACCACCGACCCCGCCGCCGGCAACCCCCGGACCGACCCCGCCGCCCCCGCCTGCGCCAATACCTGCAGCATCGACCTCACCTCCAAGCTCGGCACGCCCGTGCTCATATCCGGGCCCAACGGTAATGCTTCTCCTCTCCTACACGCTCTCTCCTCTTCCTCTCCGCTCTCGCTTCGCGTCCTCGCGTAATACTAGTCCCCGCTAACGTTGTCTCTCCGGCCTCTGTCGCTGCGCCCGGCCTGCAGCCTCACCGAACCCCGGCGACTCGCCCGGCGCCTGCACGTCGGCCAAGTACGGGCAGTGCGCGGGCAAGACGTGGAACGGGTGCACGAGCTGCGCCTCCGGGACGACGTGCCGGTTCCAGAACGATTACTACTCGCAGTGTCTGTGACGGGATGATTCTGGGTTGTTGGGGAGGCGGGGGGGGAAAGGCTTGGTTGGTTGGATGGATGGGGCATTTCTCATGTTTAGCAATATTAATATGATAGGTATTCATTCCCTCCAGGCACCTATATGGCATTATACCTATCTCATAATTTTCCATCGTTTAGGCTATCATTTGGGGTTTGTTGGGAGAAGATAAGCAGTGAGGGGTCTCCTGTATCTTTACATTTCGACTGAGATCTGTCGCTACCTAGGTATGCAGGCTGCCCGTGGATTAATATTCGCGTGCTTGGATTGGGGAAGCCGAACACGAGATTGTTAATCAGGTTGCGATCGAGATACGAACCCTCACTTCCGTCAAGGGAATGTTCGCGGTATAAACACCATAGCTGCGTGGTTATGGGTAAGTGCTTAGGAGTCCTCAAGCCGGACGGCGCTTCGCACACGGGCACGTTTTACGTGATTAGACAAGGCTTTGCTTCTATACAAGCACCTACGCTCCGTTAGCAGTGCCCGGCAAAAAAACAGGTTTTCCTTTCTTGTTATCAGTACTCCGACAGTTCGCCGTTCAGGACTTGATGGAGGTTTGTGCTGTTATCTGCGAGGCTCTACGCCTGCTGATACACACCCCAGCCCCGCCGCCAACTCCAAGAAGTAATAGCGACTGTTAGGTATTATTAACTGTCGTAACGGGCACAGCAGGGGTTATCTTGGCTACACAAGCCAGTGCTTATGAGCAAGCAATAATATATAAGACGGGTATTTAACCGAAGTGCTACAGGGAACACCCTGGACCGAGTTTTCTTTTTGTTTCACTTCTTGATTTTCGATGCCGACCTAAGCCGCTCTCCTCGTCCGATGCTGCCCCGGCGCTGGGCCCGGCGTAAACCGGACGCGAGGGTGGGTCGTGACGGGTCAGGAGATAGGGAATGCGACGGCTTGCGTGCTCGACGACTTGCCTACTTACCTATCGCGTCTTTCTTCTTATTACTTTCTCCTTGCTTCTTCTACTTCTACTGCTCCTGCTACTACTTCCGCTATTACTACTTCTGCTACTACAAATTCTCCTTCTCCTTCTCCTTCTCCTTCCTCTACTTCAACTTCACTTCCTCCCGTCTCTACCTTTAACGCACGTTCCCGCGCGCACCCGGCTAGTGTACAGCTGCGCCCCCTTACTAGCGGTGGCTCCGGAACAGCGGACGCTCGAAGCAATAATGGCGCATCATCTCCGACCGCACATTGGATGCGGGCAAGCGAGGCTCGAGCGATCTTCCTTGCGTCGGATTGCGCGAATGCGGCGCATGTCTCGGGCGAGGCAGGGGGCGGAAAACACCGGGTGTTGGGGCAGCGGGCGCCGGCAAACCACTCGCTCCGCACGGGATCCCGTCCGAGCGCGCGCGCCGCCAGGAGGGAATGTACCTTCACATGCTGGACCAAGGCAGCACCTACACGCCTGCTTACATACCTACCTATATATACCGACGTGGGCACACACACACACACACACCACGTACCAACATCCCGCGCGGCATGTGGCGCGCAACCATGCAGTCATCCACGGCTCCCACCCCCGTATGACGGATCAGGGCGAGGAACACCCCTGAGACAAGCGGCGTGGGGGTTTCCCTCGCAGCGGCACGGTTGATTCTTTGCTCGCCTAGGCTATGCGCGGGATCACACCCCTCCTTCTTTTTTCCCCCGTTACCGCAGCCTTGGACCTTAATTCGATCGACGCCCGATCGAGTTGGCCTCTCGGCGCGAGAGGGTGGGAAAAGACATCACTCTGGTCAGGAAAAAAAAAGTCCAGGAAAGGAGAAGACGAGGGGAGGGGACGCGCCAGTCATGGCCTAGGGGGAGACGGGATGACAGCATGATTTCTCAGGGTTTTCTCTTCTTTTCTCTTCTCTTCTCTCGCTTGCCTCGCCCTTCTTTTTTTTTACGCGTTGTGTTTCTCTCGACTATTCCTCTTGCTCGTGCTGATTCGCAGATGGCAAATGTCGCTCGCGAGCTTTGAGACGATACGAGGGCGATACGCCCGATAACCAAGTCGCCTCCCCTCGTTCGCGTGGTCGCGCCTACGCCCCGGGTTAGGTGTCTTCGCCCCCGAAGCTGCAGGCCTGCGGCCCAACTGAAGACGATGTATGTGTGTTAGCGAAGCCCGCGTGGCGGGAGGACCCGCGGCGCTCGCGTGCCGCCCAGGACTAGTCGACCGCCGGATGGCCCCGTTCCGAGAACCAGGGATTGCGTGGGCGTATCCCCGTCGCAGTAGCGTAGGGGACGACGCGCTGCTGCCAATCCCCGCCCCTCGTCGGCTCCGATCGTCTGGCACTGGACACACGGGGGGCGAAATCCGTGGTCCCATGACGCAGTAGCCGGGCGGGTTGCGGCCAGTCTTCCTGACCCGCGCCGATGCAGGGACTGTACCGTGATAGCATCGGTATGCAGCTGTGACTGCTCGATTGATTGCCACGGAGCACCTACGTAGACACTGGCCCTCCTCCCACCGCCAGTCGCATTCAACACACACGTGAGCCCAGAGGGGGGTTGATGGCGTGATGCCGAAGCGGCTGGTTTCTTTTTTCTCCTTATTGGAAGGTTGAAAACGAAGATAACCTGACAATCCAGGCGGTGTGAGGAAAGTGTCGTATGAATCTGAGCTAGTAGAGAGATCAGCACATCCCCGCCGCTGTGGGGAAGATAGTTGCCCATGAGGCGCCACTCTCGGCGCGCTTCGGACAGCTAGATGCCGCGTTTTCCCTTGGGCGTCAGTTGGCGAAGGGTGATGTGACAGATCATCTTCTGTGGCTTCGTGCCGAGAGGCATCCTGGGACTGATTATTTCCCAACCGCACAGTCCGCGCGCGTACGGTAGGCCTGGCTGGCCCGTCCGAGCTTGCTGACTGCATGTGCATCGATGCATTCGCTTCCTAAGTCCTCCCTTCAGCACACCAGTTGGGGCAGAGAGACCCCACGCCTCACTCGATGCGCTTTGGATAGCTCGTTTAGCGGGTGCCGGCATAGGCGGCGTGACATCAGCTTGCTGCCAACGTCTACGTATCCCGTTCGCCTTGCTTTTCTTTCCTTTCTTCTCGTTTTTTTTCTCTCCCAAAGAAGAGCGACACAAGTTGCTCCTGAACGTAGTATGTGACGGGCTCCCGGGTCCTGCATGAGAGGGGCTTGGGGTCAAGAATGGCGAGGCGGAACGAGAGAGAGAGAGAGAGGGCCAAAGGGGGAGGAGAGGAAGAGGGAGTATTACCTGGCCATCCATCGAGATACGGCCTGCACAAGGGCGATTTCATCACTTGTACAATCAGCTTAATATACCGCAGATGGCAACCCTCTTTCGGTCGGGAGGTAAATGTGGCGGCGGGACGCGAGGGAGAAGGATAGCAAACCGACATGTGCAGCCGGCCAGCGCTCTGCTTACCTTCATTTTCCCTCCTTCTCCGACGGCCGGGGTCGTCGAATCCCGTCCATCTTCCCGGGTCTGGATAAGGGGTATAGTTTTAGTGGATGACTTGCTGCCGCCCGTCCGTGTTGGATCTCATCCCTATGCAGGATGACTATGTGACGGGAGGGTCGTAATCTGGAGAAGTGCGCCGTCGTTCGACAGAAGACACGAGGATCCCACCCGGTCTTCCTTCTGACTGCTTACAAAACAACATCGACATAAGCCCTGCCAGCTCCCAGAGATTGCTTACCCGACCCGGGCCTATCGATTTGCGTCCAGTGCTCGCCACGCAACCGCCGTCCGAGCCCGACGGCTTGTGCATTCTACGCCACTTTCCCCCGACACCGTGCAATCCATGCGCTCATCTAGCCTACCGATGCTGTGGCAAGCGAGAAAGATCCCTGAGGGAGGCAGGGAGGGAGCCATGATCGGAGAGGCGAGGTAGGTAAATTGGAGGGAGGGGGGAGGGCTAGGCAGAAGAGGGAGAAAACGGCCGACGGTGAAGTTGCCACATGGGCTGTCTTGGGATCGCGGCCTCCGCGATCGCAACGCGCGGGCGCACCTGACTAGACGCGCAGCCTCTCGGACGTCGCCCTATGACTAAAATACGTTGCAGCCAGGTCAGGCTCGTAAGACGAGAGCTCGATCTAGAGACACAGCCGACAACGTCAGAGATAGGCCGAAAAAGAGAGAAACACACACACACACACACATACCAAGTCGCAGGGAAGTATTGCCGAGAGATCCTCCCATGTGCGAATACTTGATAGTGCACGTAGGTAATGGAGGCGGTGGCGGTGCTGGTGGCATTCGCGACGGTAGGTAGGTAGGTAGGTATGTTGTTGGTTTAGGTGGAGGAGGGGAGCGCCGTGGTAATGTTGGCGACGTGATATCCAGAAAGTGGTGCCCAAGCTACCGTAGCAGCGCGCCGTAGATGCTACCTCGACACCAGCTGCAAGACATCTCGCCCGCTCGAGCAAATATAGTGCGAGTAGCCACGTATAGGTGGGCGTCAGCAGCCTAACTACGTCTTCCGGGGAGGGAAGCCAGCTACGTGTAGCCAGGTAGCGCGCCAGACGCTGGTGGAGCAGGGGAGGGTAAGGGGAAGAAGATGGCAGGGGGGAGGAGGAGGAGGAGGAGGAGGAGGGGGAGGGAGAGGAGGGATGGCATCATGCGCGATTCTATGCATCTTTCTCCTAACCTCTTCCCACCCTCCCCCCCCGCCTCCCCGCAAGCCTGCACCCACGCATCTACACACTGGCACCTACGCTCGCACGCACACGATACACCCTCCCCAGGAAAAGCGACAATTTCCAGTATTGGCGCAACATCGCCTGCAGGTCCACTCTGCGGGGTACATGGCTGGAAGGGGACCTCCGAAGGGCGGATCTGCAGCCTGTCATCTATGACTGGACAATCTGCGAAGTGATCGGCTCAAGTCTGTCTTGGGTACATGATGCCAATGGGGCCCTGCGTGCGTCTGGCTCCCCCCCCCCCTCGCTCTCTCGCCCTCTCCCTCCCTGTTTTCTTCTCGCTCTCTCGCTCTTCTGTCCGCGCGTCGAAGGTGACGGACGCGATCCCTACGAACAAGAGAGGGGAGGCGAGTGGCCGGCTATGTCATACCCGATATGCGATGTGCCGTCACGATGTTAAGCTGGGTTGGGGTATTGATGTGGCATAATGTGGCAGCGTGGATCATGTGGGATGCTGTGGCATAGAGGAATCGGCGGCGCCGTCACCAGTCGGGAATAAGGGAGGAAATGAATAACCGCCGGGTTTCTCGTAATACGCAGTGGCCTACACGATCGCCACCGTCGGAAGTCCTAGGACCACCTACTTAGTAGAAGAGAAGAGGGGGAAAGGAGGGAAGATGTGCTAGAGGGAGAGGGGCCACGGTCTAATAATTAGCGCGAATGCCAGCCAGCCAACGGCGACGTTCTTCGTTATACATAACCCCGTTGCACATACCGGGTATGCGTGTACCTAATTGTATGTGGTCTCGCGGATCCAATGTTATCATAGGTACAGATGGGCGACAATGGGGGGATGGGGGCGGATACCTACACGCTGGTCGAGAGGCGGCCGCAGAAATCCTCGTCCGTCACCCCCTTCATCTTCATATGACTATGCGATAATGCAATATGGGTTTTCTTTTCTTTTTTCTTTTTAAGCTGCTATTACTCGAGAGTAGCGATCGCCCATTTTCACAGCTAATTCTGCCCCAAACCCCCTTTAATGCTGTAGAAGTTCCAGACGTAGCTGGCAAGCCCTCCGATATTCCATGTCCACCCGCTATTCCGCCCAGGTAACGCCGACAAATATCGTATAACGCCAAACGCGTGTGGTCCGCTCCGTGGTCTCGACCCGCCCCCCTTACCCGGTGGCGCCTTGTGGCTCCCCTCCCCTTTTTCTTTTCTACGCCAAACTCCGCTCTAATGCTATCGCCTCCTCGAATCCATTTGTAATCATCTTCGTCACCTCGATGCTTGGCAGCCCACAGGGCTTCCTCAGGTTTTCGCCGTATCCCTCGAAGTGCTGCAGGGCAGCCTTGACGCCGGCGAACCCCGTCTGGATGGCGGCCCAGTCCGCCTTGGCAACGACGGCCTGTAGTCGCTTCGCTTCCTTCAGCTCGCCCGCGTTGAATAGCTCGCAGATGCGAACGCAGGCCCGGGGTACGAGGTTGGCGGTACCGGCGATGGTGCCGTGTCCGCCGACGACCAGGCCCTGCAGGATGAAATCGGCGCTGCCGCCGGCGACGAAGAAACCGGGCTTGGCTCCGTCGACGACACGAGCCAACTTGCCCGTGTTCCCGCATGTGAGTTTGACGCCAAGGACATTGGGGTGCTTGGCGATCTCCAGGATGGTGTCGGAGGAGAGGTCTAGGCCCGAGCAAGCCCCGGGGAAGTTGTAGATGAGGATGGGGATCGGGCTGGCCGTAGCGACGTCATGGAAGTGCCGGATGATCTTGGCCGTGTCGAGGAGACTGCCGTAGTAGGCCGGAGGGAGCACGATGGCGAAGCCAGCCCCGGCGGCGGCGGCGTCCTGACATAGCTGGATAGTCTCACGGGTAGACTGGGCCCCGCAACCAGCGATGAGCGGCATGAGGTGGTGGTCAGCCTGATCGAGCGCAGCCCTCGTGGTCTTAACAATAAGGCTACGCTCTTCCCTGTCCAGGTGCACGGCCTCGCCGTTCGACCCGTGGACGAGGATGCCAGCAACGCCGGCTTCGGCTAGGTGGACGGCGTGGCGCTGCGTGGCCTCGAGGTCAACCTCGTCGTTCTCGTTGAAGAAGGCCACAGTGGGGACGTAGACCCCACGGGGAAGGGAATGAGGTCGGTTCCAAGACTCCGTCATCGAGGATAGCGGCAGCTTCTCCAGCCAGAGATTCTACGTAGTAGGTGGACGGGGCAGCGTAGCTGAGACGACGGGGATCCCAGACGTAGAGTGGCGTTCCTATAGCGAAGAGACGGATAGTAGTGGCAGGGAGTCTGTCTGTTTGGGGTCTGTACGAAGTGGGCAACTAAAGGACGAAGGAGAGGGGAGACGAAGAAGAAGAAGAGATCAAGAGCAGCCTAGGGACAGATGCGAGGAAGCACGGGGTGTGAAGCAGGCAAAGTTAGATGTGGTACGGGGCAAAGACAGCTTAAGTACTTTTACGCCCTCGCAGCCAGCCGAGCGTGTGTACGCCGGAAGGAAAAGCAGGGTTTGGTAACGCTGCGTGGTCGCTCTGCTCGTCCGAGCCGACGAGGCCAAGTATAGGCATGATATAGGCATGAGAGTGTACGTGCCGTACGGCATGTCAGGCAGGTTAGGTGGGAGGCCACAGACGAGCGCACACTAGCAGCCACGAGACCCAGGAAGCCCCTCCAACCCTGCCCCCTTGCGCCCGCTCATTCGCTCGTGCCTAACGAGCGGAGAGGCCATACAAAGAATGGCCGACAGAGCCGCTTACCACTCGAGACTCGTCACTGGCAATACGCGAACAACAAGCTCCCCGGATCCTGTCTAGCGTGGCCGGCGGGGGGTCGCGAAGAGGCTACTAGCCACGGACGGTAAGCGACCATATATGGGCAGCGTGGGGGGCCACGGGGGTTGGCTAGCTTTTCATCCTAACCATGGTTTGCCCGTTACCCGCAAGAGGGCGACGGAGAGAGAGTGACAGGTAGAGAGGCAAACGGTGCTGGGCTGTGCCACGACGGCCTTCCTCTCCGCAGCGTTGCGCGCGCGTCGGACGCGGCAGCCAGTCTACGTCTGGCACCGCTCCGACGGCCACAACGCCCAGGGAGCGAGACGTGACGGGCAGGCGTGCGGGTGTTGGCGCGAGGCCTGCGATGGCCGAGCTGCTAGCAGCGTTTTTTCTGCTAGCAGCAGACGCGGTGCTGACAGGCAGACGGGGTATATGTGCGGTACGCGTGTGGGCGCGCAAAGAGAGGGCGAGGACGGATGCAGAGGCGTGATAAGTAGAGACAGGTATTATGAGTATACTGCTGCGTGCGCTCTGCCTCCCGCCTCTCTGCCACCCACCTCTCTGCCAGTCGGGAACAGATGCCAATTCCTTCCTGCCGGCCCGTGCCGACGACTGGCGCCCTGCTGAGATGCGGTGAAGCTTTCCCTTTGGTTGTGTCGTCGTGTCGTCTTCTTTTTCCGGTCGTCCTGGTCTTTCTCTTTCCGAATCGGCCGGGGCAGCCTGGGGAAGGAGAAGGGGGGAGGGAGGGGAGGTGCTCTGGGTCGGTGGGGAATGCCTGCAGATGCGATACGTCGCTGAGCGTGGGGTGGGGGGGGGTCCTTTCCGGATCCCACCCCTCTCACGTACCTCGGCAGGTACCGAGATACCTACCTAGGTACCTAAGGCATCATCTGATCTCGGGTATCTGTCTGTCTTATAAGAGGTGCCGAATTACCTACATGGGGACCTATCGTACCTAGGTAGGTACCTAGGTAGATATCCACGGTAGGTATACACGGAATTCGAACGATTCTATACATACCTTAGGTGCCTCCTACCTCGCACCCTCGCGTCATATTTCCTACGGTACTTATCTGCAGGTACCTACCTAGGTACCTCTAGCTCTCCTAATCACAGACGGAAATAGGTACCTACCTGCCTTGAGTGGAGTGCTGTAAGTATCTAACCGATCCTACTTACCTCTTTAGATACCTGTACGTACCGAGCCAAAGTACCACGCAACGGTCTCCTCTCGCTCTCACCACACACAAGTGACGCTGTGCCACGCCTGTGGTAGGCACGATTGCAGATGGGAGAATCACTGGGCTCTCTGATTAGCTATGACCACAGCTCAAGTCCCTAAGTACCCTCGATCCGGGTCAGGCTTGCGAGGTACCTAATGTAGGAACACCCCCCCCCCGCCGCACACCCCCACGCCAGGATCGCAATCGCGCCAAGGCGAGGTCCCGACAACTCAAGGTGGGCGGTGAGAAGGGGTGGTTACCACGTACCTCTGTACCTCTGTACCTGCGATTCCGCTCCGTAAGGTCCGGACTTGCACTCCGTCCCCTTGCCGTGTCTTCCGTGGCACGCTGCCTGGGCACGCTAACCCCAGAGGGGGCCTGCAGCCAGAACAGGACCCGGGCACCTCTTACGTTAGGTACCTAACTTAGGCACCCAAGGAGGTAGCTCCGGCCAATACCTCAGGTACCTAGGTACATACTTGCCGTACCACCTGCCCAAGGTACCTGGGCAGGTTCGTTCGTGTTTTGGCCTACACCACCTGCCCTCGTGCCTTTCCCGTCGCCCTCCACGCCCTCCATGCTACGTCGACGGCCAACAACGACGCCACCCGATCTCGCCAGCCGCGAAGAACAAGATAATAATGAGGTGCATCCAGCCCGTCTCGCCTCTTGGCACGCATGTCGCCAGCCTACGAGCCGTCCAGCGTCAACGTCACGCTCGCATGGTTGCCATATCCGCCTCCAGCCATAGGCGTCGGCTCCGGGGCGAGATCCGCCAGGCCGTCGACCCTGCATCAGGCCATCGTAATCGACAGTTGCCTGCTACGCATGTCCTCTCTCTCTCTCTCTCTCTCTGCCCAGTGGGAAAATCTTGACGTCGTGCGCCCCGGTGTCCCACCCCGCCGGCGCCTCAATCTCCCGACTTCGACTGGGCCCACCGAGCAGTTCGGCCTGGACTTCGGCTAAGCTGGTCGCCAACAGCCCTCTCTCCGGTGTCTCGCCTACTGACCAGGTCACATGGCCTGCGAGGAAACCCGCCGGCCTGGCTCGGGAGCTCAGCCTAGAGGGGGATTACTGGTAGGGGGCACGTATGTGCGAGCACCGGTGCTACCCGTCGTCGTCTAGGTATTCGTTGCTCTCCGCGTCCACGAGCTCGTCTCCTGCGAGGCCTCGTCCGGTCGTCCGTCCGGGCTCGCCTCCTGCTGCCCCACTCGATAGGCGCGGATCCGCACCAGCGGTCCTAGTGGGTTCATCATAGGTAGTTCACGGGACAAGACTCGACTCGACTCTTCCCTGTATCGTAAGACATCCACCCCAACCAGGATCGAATCCCCGAATTCCAGAACGGCCAGACTCACGTGAGAGGAGACAACCTCGCGTGGGGGTCAGCGCGTACCTTAGGGCGGTACGATCGACGCAGGGGATAGGGTAGTCCATTCCCGTAAGCTTGAACCTCGGAGTACCATTGGTTCGTGGTTCGTGGTCCGTCCATTGTTGGGACTATCCTGTTCTATCGCACCTATATTATGGGCCTAAGCTCGGCTGCTCTGCGTCCACGAAGCGATGCTCAACTTTCGAGCTCCGCTCATGATGACCGCAATCGCGGCGACACCCAACCAGTCGCCGTCCGCTCGTACGTCATTAGCGTTGCCTCGCGGCGCGATGACATTCCCCAGTTTCATCGATATTGCAGGATGACCCGACCCTGTTCTCGACTCCTAGCTGACGGCGGGATGCAGAATAAACTCCCCCCCCTCCCCCCCGGGGGGCCCATCCGAAAGATGCCGGGAAGAGCCAAGACGTACGAAGTCATATTAGGCCGCAGGCCGTTTGGTATTTGCTATCACCCACATATTTCGCAAGACCAGGTGTGAAACGCATTTAGTTGGTGGGGTAAGAAGAGCGATGATGGGGGGGAGGGGGGAAGCTTGTGTGTCCACGCTCGACCCGCCAAGGCGGACAGAAAGTCGAATCGAAGTGCGACGGCTAGTAAGCAGTCGATGCAAGGTTACGAAAAGAGGAAGCATGAGGATATAAGGGGTATAGGAGGGGCATAGAGGGCGTAGGATACGGGGAGGGCAATGCATATGCATTCACATTCTACCGGGCCGCGTATATTGGCCCGGGGTCCAATACTATAACGGGACGGGTGGACGAAAAGCGGACACGAGAGGAGACGCAAGGGGCACAAGTGGCGTACAAAAACGGGGCACCGTCACATACATCCGTCGCCCATGGGAGGGAGGCTAGGGGAGTACACTGAGCTGACCTGGACAAGGTCAGTCGGTCCCTCGACAGTTACTCCAACCCGGCTACTGCCTGTCTGTCCGCAGCAAATCGCATCTTCCATTCCTAGCCGGCCAGCGGACGCCAATCAGCTTCGCAGGAAAGGTGGCCATCGAGTATTTTACCTTGACTCGCTGGCCGTCAGAGTATGTCTATGGAGCTTTCGGGACTAGGAGCTTGCTAGAGTAGACAGCAACCGGCGGGAAACGTACCTAAGGTGTCCAGCAAGGGTGTTGTCTACCGACGGTGTGCGGATCATGAGACTGAATGATCTACACCGAGTGGGTCCTTCGAAGGACTGCTCTTATCTGGGGAGTTCTATAGCCAGCGGTGATGGCCTGGGTAGTGGGTGTAACGTCACGTCAAGGGGATAAAACCGTGACTCGATGTCCGACAGGGGAGCGGCCAGGTCTGGGGTGATGTTGCTGAGATGGGGTATATTATATAATGATAGCCTTCAGCGGACATAGTATAGGTATATAGGGGTATCAGCCTTTTCGTTGACGGTACGAAGATATATCCACTCGCTTGGAATAGCACCCGCAACCCTTACCTACCATGTATTATTATTATCGTTATCCATTCGGTCGATCAAGAGCTATAAAAAGACCACCTATTGCCCTAGCTTTCTTTCACGGTGCCCCGTGTAATAACCGTCCTCAACGTCTCATGCCTCGACGGGCTTGGTATTTCTTCTAGCTCCTGTTTCCTACCTAGGTGGTAGATTATCCTGGTCCCTAGTGGGAATTTGAGCGCCGCCTGACACACTATCATATGTCTTGCTCAGTACTAGCACAGCGGAGGTTGATGATCTCTGTAGCCTGAGCTCCACACCGTTCAGTCCCGTCCTTCAACGTCTGTAAGGCACCTACCTACATAATAGTATCATTTCCATAAATACATATATCATCACTTACAAGACGCTCCCTGATTAATGCAGCGGAGCCTTGTCAGGCTGGAAGTAGGCAATGCCTTCTTTAGACAGGTTATGAGTAGTTATACCTTTTATACTGACAGCACTGTTCTACTTCAGAAAGTCAATCTCCCTCCGCCCTCCATGCTATGAGCCTCTCCTAGTGTTCTCCTTGTAATATGTCCTGCGGATAGGTTACTGTAACACATGATAAAGATAAAGATAGTGTTTACTGGATTATAATTCCCTTGTTCTGGTCTTATCTAGTTTAGCCTATTCACGGTGTGTTTACGAATATATCTAGCACCTATTATCCATACAGGCTGGTATCTGAGCCCAGATGTTTAACAAAACTGTGATCCGCCCCTAATATATGATTATTCTCTTTTTCATTTTTCATTTTTAGATCTATTAACAACATCAACGTCTCAACGTCCTCTTTTGGACTGTCCCTTTCGACACTCCTTTTTCGATTATCTCTTTCGATTGCCCTATTCGACTACCCTTTTAAATTCTGCATATGTAAGCTTGGCCTGTAAGCTGTCCAACAATATTACAGTAGTCGGAGCCATAGCACAATTAAAACGTACATCGGAGGTATCTATATCACAACCAACAGAATCAGAAGTATATTGTGTTATATCCGCCTATTTTGGTTTAATTAGTCCAAAAAGAAGGCATTCCGGAATCAGACTGTTTTGGCTTCAGGGCCAGTTTAGAAAATCAATCTGGGATCTTTCGCCATCACCTGAACACATGACCACCCTCTCCTTCTCTTACCATCTTTGCCACAAGCACTCTCTTGTCACCTCCATCCCCTCCACCCCTCCCAATACTCCCCATTTCCTTCATCACTCCCCATCCCTTCTATCACTGCCATCACCATTTTCCTCATCATTCCCATCGTTTATCACCTCTCTCAGCCGTCATCATCACAGACAGACGGCATCTTACCTCCGTAGGCCTTATATATCTCTCAATCCGGTCTTAACCCGTCTCTATCATCATCCCCGAACCCCGCTCCATCATCTCCTCAACTCGACTTCAGAGTCCCAGAGTCCTTGACCAAATCGCCCTGCTCGAGTCTTTGGGGGTTCTCTCGCATCCAGAAGATGGGGGACTACAAAGAATCTCGAGCTTTTGTTGACAAAAAGCATATCTACGGCCCAGCTAACAGCCCAGTCGAGATGATGAATGTGGACGACGTGGCTGGCAGTAACAGGGCCCATTATCAGGAGATGAAAAGCTCTACCGAAGAGCTTGCCGGGCCTACGGTCTCCCACAAAAAGTTTTACGTTACCGGTGCCGGCAGCCCAACGTGTCTTAACCCAACACCAAAGCTGTCAAAGCTCGACTCGAAGCATGATGACTAGGACTCAATGCCCGAGTTGGGCTTGACAGCAGCGATGAAGCAAGCGCAGACCAGCACAGACCGCGCTCTTCCCAAACCCGAGCTCGAAGGCAAATCTACGGGAAAGTTGACGATGGAACTCCCATACTGGGATTCCCAGGATTCGGGACCAACCACAATTGTCAACTCGGACGGCAACAGCATTTTCCCAACACCGCTTACCTCTCCGATGTGGCCCTACTTGGCTGACTCGGCAGACGCCGGGCACTTTAGGCCCGATATCAAGTACATAGACTCGGCCTTTCACAAAGAATACCGGCCCCTATTCTACAAGTACGGGATCGAGTACGACTTTGGCCAGCCACCGTATCCTAGTTACGGTAGCCGGACGGTCGTCATTACCGGTCTGCCGCCCGACACTGCCGTGAGCGCCATCATGGCCGGAATCCGAGGTGGCCCGGTCCTCAAGGTCACCACGGCCACGAGCCCTGCCGGGTTCACAGCCCGTGTGCAGTTCGTCGACTCGTATGACGCGTGCGCATACGACGCCTACACGAAGCGGCGATCCACGCCTTCCCCGTTCGGAGGCAACGCCCGCATCGAGCTCACGGACACCGTGAGCTTCCCCATCGCCGACGAGACGGCCCACGATATCATGGCCGGCATGACGCGTCTGGTCGTGGTGCGCGAGTTCTCGCGGTACTCGGCGCGCCAGTTCCTTGACTCGTTCCAGTTCATGTTCCTGCACCACGAGGAGCTCTTCGAGGACGTGTGGATGGACGGCAAGGGCGTCCTGCACCTGCTCTTCCGGGACCTCGCCAGCTCCGCCTCGTACTTCAAGACGGTCCTGCACGGCCTGCGCCACGTCACCTTCCGCGACCGCGTCTTCTTCGCCGCCGACCCCTGCGACGCCCCGCTGGGCGACCTGCAGTACCCCCCGCGCCTGGCCCGCGGCCTGTATCCCAGTCTGCTCGACGACTGGGCCGACCGCCGGAAGGTGGTCAGGAAGGTCGGCTTTGCCCGCAGAGACGCCGGCGACCCGGCCGGGTCTGCCGCCGGCCGCCCGGCCCCCGTCGGCGTCCACCAGCCTATCGCCCCGTGCGGATCGCCCCGACCGCTCGCCAAGGTGGCGCAGGAACTCGAGAGCCAGCTGGGCGGCGATCCGTTTATCGGCTCCGACACCTGTCCGCACAACCACTTCTACAACGCCTGCCTGCTCGCGTCCGGCCAGGTGGGGCGGGAGCTCAGCCCTCTCGCCACCGAGCGGTCGAGCTCCGAGGATGCGTGGGCGTTCCCCAGTGCGTCCGCCACGGCCGCCGTCGGCTCGGCTCGGTCTGGAGCCTTCAAATCCCAAGGGCATTCAGACCAAGAGTACGAACTGGTCGACCGTCCTACCCCGTCTCCCAGCGGGAGCGACCCACCCTACCACCATCCACGCACACAGCTCGCAGTCCAGCGCAAGGACGAGCAGGCGACGCGGGCTCCGGTTCCGCAGAGGGCCCCGGAGCGGGAGCCGCGCGGCGGCGTATCCCAAGGCTTCCGGACCGTGGTAAAAGACGCCCAGGGCCGCCAGTGCGGCATCCTGACGGTCAACTACGTCGATACGGCGCTCGAGAGCGCGACGGGCGCCTGGGAGAAGGTGGAGGGGCCCTTTCATTAGCGGCCGAGTGGAGGAGCACTTGGTATTTCCCCCTTATTAAGCGCCCCTCGTTTCCGTCGCGGCGACCGCGCCGGCTAACGCAGCTAGAATACACACATCTAGATGTCTTTCTTGGGCTGGCCGTCCACGCACGCCGGGAGCCGCAGCAGACCTCCCGCGGCCGTCCACGCACATCGCACCACAACCCCGTTAATATCCCCCGTATCCACGAGGACCCCGCAGGCAGCGCCTAATATCATCTGCCCACTAGCCACCGCCAGACGGCCACCGCCGCACGCATTCACTTCATACCCGGGGCCCTCTCGCCGCATGCGCGCTGCGCGGGCCCCGTGCCGGCAGCATCTATCGAATCCTCTGCTCACCTAGCTATCTCGAATCGGTTTCATTTCCAGTCTTGACGTTTCCCTCTCCCTCTTCTTTTTCCTTTTTTTCGGTTAATGATACCCCCCCTTCTGACCTGATTGGCGGACGGGCGTGGTCTGGGATCTCCGCGCGTTCGACTTTCTTGTTGAAGGTTTCGGTTTTTTTTTTTCGGTCCCCTTCTTCCGTTCTTTGAAAAAATAAAATACCTCTCTAGGCATACAGAAACGAAGGGAGGAGAGACGGAGAGGTCGGCACGGCACGCGTTGTCGCCCCGTGGGCCATCATCGCCAGGTCCTCGCGTGGTGGAAAGGAGTCGCGGTGGTAATAATTCGCACACAGACACACACCCTTTTCCCATTTTCATTCTCGTTTTCGTTTACCGTTTATTTCCTCAATTCTTTCTTCGATGCAGGGAGATGCAGGCCCCGGGCGTGGGAGGCCCGGTGGTGGGTTAATATGCAGCATCCGCTCGCGGCTCGGCCCCCTATGCGGGGTGTGGGGTTCAGGTTTGGGGCATCGTGCCCTTTTCTCTTAATGTTTGTTTTCGGCAAGGAGGTCTTTTGGGGGTTTTCCTCCCTGCGGAGGGTTTTGCGGGTGACGAGGTGGGGAGACGGAACGGACGGACAGGTGGAGGGAGAGCCGGTCGGGGCCTCCCGGGTTGGGTCAGTCACACGGACACGCCGTTGGCGGCGCGGTTTTGTTCTTGGCTTTGCTTCACTCTGCTAGCTGCGACGCGGTCGCCTTCGCTGAAGACACACGGGAGGCTGGTTTTTGTCTGGCACCTAGGGACGGGAAGGGCAGGGTATGGTGTAATAAACGCACGCTCGCTCGTGCGCGAGAACCCCTAATACCACGATGATTTTCCCGCACTGGACAGGAGCCGCACGCATGCGCCAACTTGCGCCGCGGCACGGTGGGCGTTGTGCCGAGTAGAAACGTGATATGCGAGCTTTATAGGAGCCCCTTGTTGGCAGATCCAGGGAGCCTTCGTCGTAAGTATATACACAAGGTAGGTGTAGACGACGACGACAGTTAGCACCAGCAAGCCCAGCAAGCGAGAAGGTATATTAGGAATCATTACATAGGCATTTGATGACGTGAAATGCGCAGCAACCGCGTAGCTACATAACCCTCCGCTTGATCTCCTCACCGACCGACGGAAGCGCTCATCATCACCCACCACGCTCATACACAGTTAGCGCGGCGCAGGTCCCAAGTGCTTACGGAGGCTGAACGACGACGCCAGGTCCCTTTCTAGCACAGCGCGTAGGTCCTCTCGCTGCATGAGAGGTCCGTGACTGCTTCTCTCTTCCGCCGAAACCACGAACCTCTCCTCTTCCTCGTCCCCCGCTTCCTCCCACTCGTCGTTATAATCGGCCGCCCCAGAGCCGCCGCCGGGACCGTTCGCACTGGAGCGCTTCAGCTTGCGCACCGTGCCGTAGCTATGCCCTTCTTGCAGCTCGTCCACCAACTCGTCGTCCCCCGCAAATGCCTCGGCGACGCTCGAGTACTTCCGTCTCAAAAGAGGCGGCGGCACGGCATGTTGCGATTTCTTGTGAGATCCCCGGTTTCTGCCTCCGCCGGGAGTAGCTTGGCTGCGCTTAGCCGCTTTCTTCAGGTACAGCTTCACCAGCGCCGGCGGGATGTTCCCCTCTGGCTCCCATGTCGGGTTTTGGTCTGGTGGCCAATCGCCTTCCCACCGTACCTTGAAGTAGCGTTCGGTCAGCCCGTCTTCCGTCATGATTACCTTGTCGCCTTCCAGCCGTTTCACGACCCACACTTCCTCGTCCATCTCCTCGTCTTCTCTCTCATCCTCCCCACCCTCGGGTCTCGCCAGTTCCCGAGCCTTGGGTTTTTGTGCCTTCTTTTTCTTGGGCCGAGATTCTTGCTTCGCACTGCTGCTCTTCTCGCGGTCCAGGAGAGACTCTGTCGCGACAGGTGGTGGCAAGGATGAGGGCCAGTTGCTAGAACTACGGCCGGCAGGCGTGAAACCGTAGTGATATAGCGTGGCTTGTGATGTGGGAGGTCGAGCCGGAACGGACTCGCCTCTGGCACTTGGGGGTGTTTGCCTGGGGGAGGGAACAGGCGGTGTCAAGTGCTTGTCATCGGATGGCGCCGGTTTAGAGGCCAACTTGCTGGGTCCGGATGGCTTAAGGACTGCTGTGGATCTCGGCCCAGAATTGCCCCCGGCCCGTTCGGGTAAGGTCGAGTTCCTACTCGACCAAGACGTTTTTTCGCGGGATGTTATGCGAGAATTCGAAGATGCGGCGTTGGGAAGACCGCGCCGCGAGATATCGTTTTCTTCCACGTCTTCTTCCTCTTCTTCTCCTGCCTGGCCCACGCCGATAGCGTCAGTACCATCATCGCCATCCTCTTCTCCGTACAGTTGTCGGTATATTGCCTCGTCAGGATCGACATCCCCCGAATCGACATCGGTTGCAGATTCTATGGCGGACCTCTTCCTCTTCTTCTGCGGCGTGGATAGTGACGGGCCGGACGTCCTAGCAAGGGGTAGGGCTATCTCAATATTGCTCGAACCACCGAAGCTTGCCTGTTTCGAGAGGTGGCGTGTCTGGAGCTCTGCCTTGCTCAGGCGACTGCGTTTCTTCTTGTGACGAGTTGGGGTGCTGGGGGCGATGGGAACGGACGTCGCATTGTTGGCGGCCGTCTTCTTGTTCGCCATCTTCTCTTCCGCTACCTCCGCCTTGCGCTTTTCCGTCCGGGCCTCCTCCTCTCTTTCTTTGTCTGCCTCGAGCAGGGACTTGTATTCAAAATCCTCTAACGCGCGGGCCGAGACGTAATCGAAGATCTTAGTCGCGAGGACGGTTACGCGGGCCGCGGGTTGATCAGGCCACCCCACCACGTAGTACATCTGCAGCCGCAGCTCGCCATTGATCGTGGTGTCGGGTAGAACGCATTTGTCGAGTATGAACGCGTCCGAATCGTTGGTAGGAATAATCGTCAGAGGAGCGAGCCGGGGGCCGTCGCCAGGTCGGTAGGGACGGGGTTTCGAGGGTACAGGCACTTCGATTCGTGACATTTGAGCCCCTGTTCGGCCCATCGCGGCGGTTCGCGTAGATGCTCTGGGGATCGGAGCGGCTGCGTGTGACGGCATGTCAGATACGGAGTTGTAGATGGGGTCGGCCCGACGTTGTGGGAAAGTGCGTCGTCGTAGCCGGGACGGCTACGCCCTGGGTTCAATCGAGGACGGCCACGGCCGGCAAGATTGGAGAAAAGACAAGGTCGACTTATTTGCGGTCGATCAGCTGTCGGACATGTTCGTGAGAAGGGGTCGAAGCAAACGGCAACGCATATACGGGATGGAGTTCCAGCTGCGGGTAGCTGGCGAGTTGTAGTAAAGCGATGCCGTCTTAGATTTAATGTTTCCGCGATCCAAAAAGTTATTTAATTATTTGACGGTATATTTCTCAAAACGATATGCTAATAAGCGTTAAGATTATATAATGCTTACTTATATATATATTTAACTATATAGATAAGTTAATAGTAATACATTTTTATTATTATAGTAATTTCATAATTTAATTAGATATATATATATAATTTTCTAAAATAATAAACCTTTATTAATATTTAATTCTAATGTAATAATTGATATTAGACGTTGTAACCTTGTATTCTTATTAGGTTGGTAGTAATTAGTTGTTCTGCCCTATCCAAACGGTACCTTCGCATTTGCTAGCGCGGACCCCTTTTCCTGTCATTTCTGTGAGTCAATCCGATCCGTTACCTAAATCGCTGTGCCCCTCCCCCTCCATTATTTCTTCTCACCACGTCCCGCAACCACCACCATCATCACCATCACCACCACTTCTCTCCTCCTCTTCGCCTTTCGACGACGTCAATCCCCTGCGGTCGAGAGAACAGGCGAGAATCTCTCCGACCATGACCACAGGTCCGACCCCGTCGCGGCTCCCCCAGCCGGGCAAGCAGAACATCCTGATCACGAGCGCCCTGCCCTACGCCAACAACGTCCCTCACCTGGGCAACATCATCGGAAGCGTGCTCGTACGTAGCCTTGCGCCCTAATTTTCCGGCTGTGCTCGTGTTGACGCGTCCCCTCCGACAGTCTGCCGATGTTTTCGCTCGCTTTAGCCGCGCACGAGGCTTGCCCACCCTGTATATCTGCGGTACCGATGAGTACGGCACCGCGACCGAGACCCAGGCCCTCGCCGAAGGCGTAGACCCTGCCACTCTGTGCACCAAGTATAATGCTATCCACCGCGACATCTACGCCTGGTTCCAGATCGATTTCGACATATTCGGTCGCACCCCTACCCCTCAGCACACCGAGATCGTCCAGGCCATCTTCAAGCGGCTTTGGGAGAACGGCTTTATCGAGGAGCGGGAGACCGAGCAGGCCTATTGTCCTGCACACTCTTCCTTCCTCGCCGATCGCTTCGTCGAGGGCGAATGCAGCCTATGTCATGCTGCTGGCGCCCGTGGTGACCAGGTAGGCTGTGTTCTATACGTCGCTCTCTCGTACAAGCCGGAGTGGCGCTGACAGCGTGCGGCAGTGTGACGGCTGTGGAAATCTTCTGGACCCCTTAGAGCCGGTTGGGGATAGCAAGGGGGAGAGCGGAGAAGATAGGAAAGCGACGGGTTGGCTCATTAACCCTCGTTGCAAGCTAGACGGTGCGACGCCGGAAAGACGGACAACGAAGCACCTTTATCTCCGCTTGGATGCTCTACAACCCGAGATCAAGAGTTGGCTCGAAACAACTAGTAACATAAAAGAGTGGAACTCCAACGCCATCGCTATCACCCAATCGTGGATTCACGACGGGTTAAAACCCCGTAGCATTACGAGGGATCTCCGATGGGGTGTCCCAGGTACGAAATATGGCTCCGGCTGACCTATGTCGCGAGCTAACATGCTATGTGCCCCAGTCCCCAAAGACACTCCCGGCCTATCTAGCGAGGATTTCGAGAACAAGGTCTTTTACGTCTGGTTCGATGCCTGCAGTACGTTGCATCACGTAGCTCTCGCATCCGTCTCGGCTCTTGCTAACCCAAGTAGTTGGCTACCCATCAATCACCAAGTGCTATACCGATAGAGACGATCCCTCGGGCAAGAACTGGGAATTGTGGTGGAAGAATCCCGGCGAGGTGTCCCTCTACCAATTTATGGGCAAGGACAATGTTCCGTATGCGGCCCCATGCCGAACCGCTTGGCAAAGAAGCTAACCTGTCCCATCAGATTCCACAGCATCATCTTCCCGGGTTCCCAGATCGGGACGAGAGAAAAATGGACTCAGGTCACCCGGCTGTCCACCACGGAGTATCTCAACTACGAAGGCGGGAAGTTTAGCAAGTCCAAGAACGTCGGCGTATTCGGCAACCGCGCGAAAGATACCGGCGTCGATGTGGACGTGTGGAGGTACTATCTGCTGTCGCGACGTCCCGAAACCAGCGACTCTGAGTTTAGCTGGCGGTAAGTCTCGGGTTCAACAGAATCCGTACTCGATCTGTGCCCCGGCTAACCAGTATGGCGGCAGGGAGTTTGTCGATGCCAACAATAACGATCTCCTCAAGAACCTAGGAAACTTTTGCAACCGAGTCCTCAAGTTCTGCCACACAAAGATGGATGCTGTGGTGCCGGATTACCGCACCTACGCGGACCCGGAAAATCTGCTAAAGCCGTATAAGGAGGAGGTCAATGCCCTGCTTCAGACTTACATCTCCAACCTCCAAGCCACGAAGCTAAGAGCTGGTCTGTCCACAATCCTCAGGTAGGTGTCTCTCGGACGTGCCATGCCTGTCTCCGTGCTGACGTGAGATTTCCTAGCATATCTGCGTTAGGCAACAAACTACTGCAGGACAATAAGCTCAGCAACCAGCTCCTGTCAGAAGACCCGGATCGTTGCGCTGCCGTGATCGGCCTCGCCATCAACCAACTGCACCTCATCGCCAACGTCTTATTCCCGTACATGCCGGGAACAGCCGGCTCTATCTTTACCCAGCTCGGTATTCCCGGCTCGGGGAATGAGCGATTTTCCATTCCGGACACGTGGGTGAGCGACGTCATCGCCCCCGGCCACGCCATCGGCGAGCCAAAATTGCTCTTCTCCGCGATCCCAACAGGAAAGGCGGAGGAATGGCGCGAGGCGTTCGGTGGCGAGGAGCTGCGACGTCAGAAGGCGATCGAGGCGGAGAAGGCGGCGGCCAAGAAAGCAGCCAAAGACAAGGAGAAGGAGAGAAAGCGGCTCAAGAAGCAGGGTCTCGCAGACGCTGCTAGCGGCGTGACAGCACAGGAGCCATCAGAGCAGTTCAAGGACTTGAGCATCCAGGGCGATGGCGAGGGCGGGACAACAGGGGCGTCAAGGGAAGAAAAAGTGAAGGCATAGCGTGTGGGTTGAGGGGATTGATTTTGTGTAGGTATAACGGCGAGAGTGGCAGGGCGCTGGTATAGAGGCATTTGAGAAGCCGCCTTCGGATTGCGACGTAGGTAGCATAGGGACCAATGCGGACGGGATGCCGGGATGCCGGGATAACAAAGCGGCGGTTCTCGCGGTGGATACCAGCGTGGCGGCGATTTTCCCTTTCTTCTGGGGTTCTTAGCCAGACCGGGTGGGTATAAAGCACCCGAGCGAAAGGAACCCAAGTGAGGATATTCCATCCATCTAAATAGCTAGTTATATATAGCTAGTTGCATACAGCTGGCGATATATAGCTAGCCAGGTAGATATATGGGCATTGTAGCAATACGCCACATCGGCGTCTCGACAGGCCGGGCGGGAGCGGGAGCGGGAGCGGGGGGCACCCAGGCGGAGCGCCGACCTCAGAAGTACCTCCTGTATATCCTCAAGCCACCGGCTCAAAGGGCTGCCCAGCACACAGATCTCCTCGCCCTTGCATAGCCCATTGTCCCTACATCTTTGCCCCCTGTCACGCGTCTTTCACCGTGTCAGCGGAGCCTTTATCACATCGCCGTGGGGAAAATTGGGGCACGTTCCAGCTGCATATTAGTCTGCTACGGCTGGCTCGGTGGGCACCGCAACGATACGATCCCTATCCCGCCACGGTTTGGCAAGCCGTCGCCACTACGAGTCTTCTTACGCCAGCTTTACTTCGAGTCAGCTCTGCGAATTCCACAGAAAGCTGCCAGTCTCTTAGCAAGAGAGGATAGACGGTTGCGCCGCGTATTAGTTAATTTATAGACCCCCACCGTGTTATGCTGCGCCGAAGACGCCGTCGGCTTCGGCATGCGACCAGGGTGACCAACTCGTTATCGCACGAATCTGTCGCTGGGCACACGAGGGCACGCACGCCGCGCTGAGCACGTCTACGTGGGAGAGCGGCACCATTGCCGTATCCGGCTGTTGTAGACACATGTGTATTATAGGAAGCTATAGAAGCCTACGTCTTCGCGTAGGAAGCGCGGGCGTCCGCATTTCCCACAACGGCGGCGCAAGCGAGACACACAGAGAGAGAATTATGAAATACCAAAACTAGGTCTATCGTGCCCCCCTCCCGATCAAGCCGAGGCCGTCTGCACCTTCGGGATCTCGAAGCGGAACCCTGTGTACCCCTCGGCCGCGCAGCTCTTCAGCTCCGTCATGTAGTTGGTCAGGCCGCCGAGGAACATCAGCGACGCGCGCCGCTTGCCGGGGATGCCGTCGCCCATGTACCACTACACGGGGGCCGGGTTGTCAGCAGGCGGCAACGGTACGGGAGAGAAGAGAAAGAGAAGAGAAGAGGGGGGGGGTTTGGGGACGACTTACCGACTTGGCGCGGGGGATGAGCGTGGACTCGGCGATGGCGTTGACCTGGGCGGCCCAGGCGCGCTCGCTGGCCTCGTCGGGGACGACGCTGGCGAGCCCGGCGTCGCGGACGTGGTTGATGATGCCGACGATCCACTCGCCCTGGAGCTCGGCGCAGGTGGGGCCGTTGCAGAAGGCCGACGGCGACTGCGGCCCGTACGAGAAGAACATGTTGGGGAACCCGGCCACGCTCAGGCCGTAGTACGTCGTCGGGCCGTCCCGCGCGAACTTCTCCCGCACCGTCTCCCCGCCCACCCCGCGGATGTCGATCTGCGTCAGCCCGCCCGTCACCGCGTCGAAGCCCGTCGCCAGGACTGGGTCCGGCCGGAGCCGCCGAGGTTAGCGCGAGTTGAGAGAGAGAGGGAATGCTGCTGCGGCGAAGAAGAAGAAGAAGGAGAGAGAGAAGAGGGGAGGGGGGAGGGGCAAATGGCAGAGGAAACCCTAGTAGGTAATAAAAACAGGCAGTTATTAAAGAGAGTAGCTACTCACTGATAATGTCAAACTCCCACTCCTTCTCCGTCGTGCGGATGCCGGCCTCGGTGATCTCGACGACGGGGGTCTCGTTGACGTCGACGAGGTGCACGTTGGGCTGGTTGAACATCTCGAAGTAGCCCTGCTCGAGGGGGACGCGCTTGCAGCCGAAGGGGTAGGGCGGGTCCTGGGGGGCGAGGAGGCGGCGCAGGCGCTCGTCGTGCAGGCGGGCGCGGGTCTTGTCGCGCCAGAAGTCGTAGACCTCGCGGTTGGCGGCGAGGTCGAACAGGGTGTCGCTGTAGTTGCCGATCCAGTAGGTGAAGTCGCCGGCGCGCCACAGGGCCTCGAGCGTGGCGCGCCGCGCCGCGCCGTCGTCGTCGAAGGTCCGCCGCGGCAGCAGGCCGAAGTCGAACCCCCACGGGCCCTCGCCGCGCCGCCGGAAGAAGTCCCCCAGCTCCTCCTTCGCCACCGGCTCCTCCCCCGCCCCGTAGTCCACCTGCCGCATCCGCAGCGGCAGCGCCGGCGTCCGCTGGAACACCACCAGCTCGCCCGCCCCCTCGCTTAGCGCGTGCGACATCTGCACCCCCGTCGAGCCCGTCCCGATGACCGCGATCCGCTTGCCTTTCCAGTCCGGCTCCGCGTGCGGCCAGAACGACGAGTGCAGCTGCACGCCCCGGAACCTGTCGCGGCCCTTCCAGTCCGGGAACGCGCGGCTGGCGGCGATGCCGGTGTGCGGCAGGAAGAAGGTGGCGCGGAAGACGCGGCCGTCCTTGGCGGTGACGATCCACTTCTGCGCCGCCTCGTCCCAGACGGCCGACGTGACGAAGGTGTTGAAGTAGGTGTCCTTGCGGAGGTCCCACTTCTCGGCCACGTGCTCGAAGTACCGGCGCAGCTCGACGTGGTCGGGGAAGCGCTGGGACCAGTGGAAGTCCTTCCAGAGCTCCGGGTCCGAGAACTGGTAGTGCGGCGCGTGGCTGTCGACGCGGGCGCCCGGGTACCGGTTCCAGTACCAGACGCCGCCGTAGTTGTCGCCGGCCTCCACGATCTTGGCCGAGTAGCCTTCGTCGCGCAGCCTCTTCAGCTGGTACACGCCGCTGAAGCCGGCCCCGATGATGAGAGCATCGAGCTCTTGGGCGTACGTTCGCGAGCCCATCTTTTCGGTGTGTCCGAGTACAAGAGCCCCAAGTAGAGATCACGGAAGGCAGAGGCGGATAGTATCCTGGTAGATATCTCCTCTCGTAAACTCGTCTTGTGTGCCCGTCTTGTGTGCCCGTTATATAGCGACATAGAGTACAAGGACACACACGGCCTTTTTCCAGAGCCGTATTAATCGCTCTTTACCGCTGAATCGAAACCAGCTTTGCGGAGGCCCCCCCCAAACCAATCACTAATCTTCGGCAATCCCTTCGGGGCAACCGGGTGTGCTGCATACGACAAAGACACCGACTGTTGTAAAGGAGCCTATCGATTCGGCAGTATACTCCCTGCTGTGTTGTGATACAAGGCCATGGCCAGCCAACAGAAGTCGAACCCACCCTACATAGAACCAATGCCGTGGTGAAAGCATCCGCCTTTACTCACACCCTACAGCTTCTTTCCCTCGGTGTTCCATCCATGTCACATGGTCAGCCGATATACAGTCGTCATAGCTGCCACCCATGTGTCTTCTCCGTAGTGTTTCCTATCTGCGTGGTAACCTTTTTGTCTCTTCGCCACTGGTGTCGCCGACCATGCTTGCCACGCCAACCCCGGAAAGCATACAAAGACGCGTGACCTTTGATCTCCGGCCATCCGGTAACCCGACTTCTTTACAACTCGAGAAAGCTTCATGAGAAAAGCGCCGATGTAACCCCCCCACGCCCTTCCGCCATCACCATGACATGACATGACATGACGGATGTGAGCATACTAATTACTCTTGTCGGGGGATGAGGTCAGTAAGCGTGCTAATATCGCAGAGGCTCACCTTTGTCCGGGTATATGATAAACCCGGGGTTCTCATTCCTGTAATAATGACAAAAGAGCGGTTAATAGGTGAGCCCGTACTAGCTCCGAACGAATGACAATCAAGGCCCATAGGCGCCCGACAGTAATACCGCAGGCAGGGGGTGGCACCCATGCTGTGTATATGAGGTTGTGAATTGTTGGGGTGGTTATGCCCACGATACATACCGCGTAACGGGATGATACGGGTGATACGGAACAAGTGGAATGTGTGGGTGCAGGCACATATATATCAAGTAGGACCCCTAAACTCGTACAGATATATGACACGAAGGTGTACCCTTGAGTGTATTCGACTGCTTGTTATCATAACTTTCTAGACTGTACAGTGCCCTTGTGGAGAGTTAAGAGACCCTTCCCACGGATGGGGACACTACTTCCAGCTGGCACCAAAAACATCTAATATAGAGGGTCGTCATTCGTTCCGTTACTTGGGGTAGTGGTAGTGAAGTCTTCGTGGAGTAAATCACCCCACGAGAGACCTGCAATCGGGATAGTACTTGGAGTATTCAAACCCAGAAGATCCACCAAGTTCACGTACTCGGGAGGTGAAAAGAGATTATGGGTTGCATCTCTTCTATGTCCCATCGCTCCGCTTCCGCTGACATCGGTTTCTCTCATCAACTCTAGTGTCTTATATTTCGCACACGGATCGACGGCAGAATTTTCATCTCGTTGAGATCGGCACGAGGCGATTGAGTCGGGCAATGAAGACCAACGTCCCATATTAGCGAACTTGCGTTCTTGCAAGGCCGTAATCTAATCCGGAGGTAGCGTCCAATTTCCTGCCGCAGACCCGGTAGGCGAAGAGTCGCCGCCTATAGGAGGCGGGCTAGGCTCGCTGTCTGGTAAGTGAGCTTCTGAGGCCGTGAGGAAGGCCCTCAGGAGCTTGGGCTGCAGAGATCTAATCAGCTCAACCGCACGATCTCGCACGGATTGATCTGATATCTGGAGCTGGAGCTCTATGTCCCTTTCGAGCTCCCGCTGCAGGGCAGGCGGTAGCTCCGACGTAAGGTATGCCTCGTACACCGATATGTCCAGTTTATTGTCTAAACTGGGATCATCGCGACTCTGAGAAGCTCTTCTGTTGCCGTTTGCCTCCGAGTACTCGTAGTCTACTTGACAGTCAGCGTGAAACTCATCGGGCCGGCCGAAATCCCGCGGACTAACAAGGCGTTGGGATGTCTAGGGGATCATCGCCGGGGAACAGAATGCGGTACATGTCGTTCCACTTCTCCGGTTCGGGCTTATTGGTGACGTCTTTCTTCCTAGACTTAAGCAACTTCTCTTGCCCTAGGCTGACACCCTCTAATTGTTCTTCGAAAGCCCGCAATTCGCACGGTCGCGTAGACCGCTGGTGCAATGCGAGCTCCTTGGGGCCCTGAAATTCCCACCCGCAGCGATTACACCGAAATTGAGGCAGTCGATGTCGCCGGAACAGATGTTCTCTAGCGCTGAGCATTAGCCATCGAGCCCTAACTTCCTGTCTCTGGACGTCGAGGAGAAGATTAGAGGCATAATCGCATGCTTACTTGACTCGGTGGACCGACACCCACCCAGGACCGGCACAAGCCCTCTCGTGCACATATTTCTGTGGACACCTCTTGAAGAATGGCATGCGAAGCGGCGGACAGGTGGTGACTCTTGCTTGGGGAGCTTCCTAGGTCGACGAGGATGATTCCGCTCGGGCTCGGACTCTTCGTTGTCCGAATAATTTTGCGCGCGATCGCTTTTTCGTTTCCTCGAGCTGCCAGGAGCGGAAGTGCCAGAATTAGAGAGCGGTGACCAGTTTCGAGATTGTTGTTGCCTCGACGAGTCCTCGCAGCCACATGTTTGGGCAGTAAAGCCGCTGTGCGAATGCAACGTCTCTTGTACGATCTGGATAATAGACCCGACAGACTCGGCCGCTCTCCGCTGGTCTTCGTCGATGGAGATGAAGCCGGCTCGGCTTTGGGTCCACAAATTGTCGGGATTCACGTCGGACCTGTGCAGCTCCGTCTCCCTTTGGTGTGCAACCATCCGAAGACCCCGAATCTCTTGTACAATGCCTTCCCGCACAGCAGATTCCAACCGCGAGAATACGCTCCCGCTCCAGCGGAGCAGCGTACTTATCGAAACCGACTGCGCTTTCCTGTGACGTGGCACCTGGCTGTGCGCATGCCCATCGCGTGGACGCGGCAAGGGGCGATTCCCGACGAAGACTACAGTTTTTGATGTTTTCGAGACGTCTACCGTGGTGTCTGCTACTTTCCGCATAGAAGACTTGAGTCGCGGTTTCGTGGGTTGATGTATTATTCTTTTAGTTTCCGCTCTCGGCGGGGTGGTGATGGCGGCTTTGTCCTGGCAAGCGGGGCTGGCGTGGTCTATCTTCTGATTCTCATCGCCGACAGCGGGTGAGTCTATACAAATTACGAAGGACATCGCAATGTAGATTACCGATGCGTGGGAAGCGTAGATGTAAAATGTGCGACGATTTAGCACAGATGAGGACTGAATATGTGCGGATGCGAATGGCAAATGATGAAAGCAAGTTGAAGATGCGTAGTCTACTCTGCCCTCAAGATAAATGGCAGCCTATACCGGCGATGTCGCGTCGCAGTCGAGCGCATCCCGCACCCCGCTGCGTCCGCCGTGGCGGTGTTGAATATACAAGGGCCTGGGACGGCCTACAGTTTTGCGCATTTGCGCAGAACTCAGCTGCAAGCTGTCGGTCCTAGTCGTAAGGTGGCATTGGCGGGTTGAGGATACGACCTCTTCCAGTCGAAAAGGCGATAGCGGCCAATCGTCGACAGCCACCATGCTGACTTCTGTCCCTCCCGGGGGTCTCTCCTCGTCCCGTTCGTCGGGGGGGAGGAGCTGGGCCTTCTTTCTTGTAGGATCGCCAGCTACCGGCCAACCCTTTCTCCGTGCTGACTTCTGTGTCCGGGGGATATCCCAAGCGTGAATATGCCTACGCGGACGGAGAGGACAGAGCCGCCAAGGGCAGAGGAATGGGTGGCGATCACTGGTCCCTTTCCGTACGCCAAAGATCGCTCCGACTTCACCCCTTCTTCCCCCATCCTCCAACGCCCTCCGCGTCTTTAGGTGACGTTGGGTATGCACGAGAGTATAGGTACGACGTAGGTAGGCATAGGTACAGAAGGCCGTGGAAGGGATTCGCTCATGGAATTCATGTTTCGAGTTGCTGCTAAGAATCAGGCTCAACACTGCAGACGAGGACGAAACGGGTGTATACTGTTACAGGTAGAAGCTGAATCGATACCCATATTTGGTGAGAGGTACCTACCTTACTCCCTAGGTAGGTAGGTACCATACAGGGAGGGGGGGGTCTATGGACAGTATGTCAGCCATAGAGTCGGGGTACCGACACGGTAACAAAATCTAGTAAGGGTTACCTTAGCTGGTCATTCTTTCGGAGGGGCTAAAAGAATTACAGCAAGGGTCACGGTACCGACCTTATTACCTTCCCTTCTTATAATTTCAGGATGGCCTTTATGATAACGTAGGAACTAATGTCCAGACGGATATAATGTCTATATTCCATAGGTACCTACCTACCTACCTACCTACCTACCTACCTAGACCTACCTGTTGTCTTCATCTTTTTTCTACAAACACCATAATCTATTACCCATCTGCGAACCTATCTGCGAACCTATCTGCGAACCTATCTACGAACTTATCTGCGAACCTATCTGCGAACCCGTGGGAGCTAGTTCGCGCGTGTGGAATCTATCTATCTTCGAACCTATCTTAGAACCTATGGGAGCTTGTTCAGGCGTATGGAATCTATCTATCTTCGAATCTATGGGAGCTAGTTCGCGCGTGTGGAATCTATCTATCTTCGAACCTATCTTGGAACCTGTGGGAGCTTGTTCAGACGTATGGAATCTATCTATCTTCGATCCTATGGGAGCTAGTTCGCGTACGTAGAATCTATGAGAGCTAGTTCGCGCGTACGCGTGGAATCTATCTATCTTCGAACCTATCTTAGAACCTATGGGAGCTTGTTCAGACGTATGGAATCTATCTATCTTCGATCCTATGGGAGCTAGTTCGCGTGCGTGGAATCTATCTATCTTCGAACCTATCTACGAACCTATGGGAGCTAGTTCGTACGCGTAGAATCTATCTATCTTCGAACCTATGGAAGAGAGGTAGGAGGTAGGTAATAGACGTAAAAGATACAAAGGTACAAAGGTACGTACTTAATAACATAGAGGTAACCGGGTAATCCTATAGAATGTACCTTTTTTTAAAATAAAGACATTATATCCGGATGGTAACTATATCGGGAAATGGTAATAATGTTAGCCTAGAGTTTAATTTACTCTTATTACGAGGTAGATACTATGTCTAGTCATAGAAAGGGTTGCTGACATAGTGTCAATAGACCCCCCCCTCCCTGTATGGTAGGTAAGAGATTAGGCGCACTGGGTTCAGCCGCTCAAGCCACCTGGCAGCCACCTGGGAGGGAGTCAAGCCACTCAGGCTGGCTCTCTCGGTACTTGGGTACTTAGGGTAGAGGGGTACGTCGATACCTGTGGATAACGCGCAGCTTCGGGTTGCCTGAAGCTCTCCGCGCCTTGTCCAACTTCGTCACAATCCAGAGCTTCGCTCCCCCGTCTCGTCTCCCATCTCCCTTTTCTACTTTCCCTCTCCCCCCTCTTCCCGATAAATCTCACATCCTCATACCCGCAAGGCTCCCCCTACGTAAAAATCACCACCATGGTAAGCTTCGCCCCCCCCGGTCTCTTCGGGCCGCCGTTTCCTAAGCTCACGATATATCCAATTAGACGTCGATAGGGACGGGCTACGATCTCGCCAACTCCATCTTCTCGCCCGACGGACGGAACTTCCAAGTCGAATATGCCGTTAAGGCGGTCGAGAACGGCGGCACGTCTATCGGCATCCGCTGCAAGGACGGCGTCGTCCTGGCCGTCGAGAAGGTCATCACTTCGAAGCTGCTGAAGCCCGGCGCGAACCAGCGCATCGCCACTATCGACAAGCACCTAGGGGTGGTATGTTGTTGCCCGCCGTCTGCCGTTCCTCTCTATTTTCTCTCGGGCGTGCATCTGAGCATATACACGTACATTGGTGTCGCGAGACTGACTAACCACGGTTTCCACTCTCCCACCCTGCCCTTTGGAATAGGTCTACTCCGGCATGGTACCTGACGGCCGCCACTTCGTCGATCGCGCCCGCGACGAGGCCCGCAGCTGGCGCGAATCCTTCAAGACACCCATCTCGACGTCCGACCTAGCGAGCCGCATGGGCGGGTACCTGCAGGTGTACACGTTGTACCAGTCGGCACGGCCGTTCGGTATCACAGCCATCGTGGGCGGCTTTGACTCGGAGCTGGAAGCGCCGGTGGACGGGCAAGTAGGTGCGGGCCCGTCGGTCGGCGCCGGCGGCAAGGTCGAGGGCAAGAAGCACGGCGGGCCGGCCCTGTACATGATCGAGCCGAGCGGGCTGTACTGGGGATATTACGGCGCGGCGACGGGCAAAGGCCGGCAGGCGGCCAAGGCCGAGCTCGAGAAGCTGAACCTGGCCGAGGGCGCGCTCAGCCTTGAGCAGGCCGTCAAGGAGGCCGCGCGGATCATCTACGTCGCGCAGCAGGACAACAAAGACAAGGAGTTCGAGCTCGAGATGAGCTGGATCAGCGGCGCTGACGGCCCCACCAAGGGCCTTCACCAGGAGGTCCCGCGCGCCCTGTTCGAGGAGGCCGAGCGCCTGGCCAAGAAGGCCATCTCAGAGGACGACGAAGAGGAGGAAGAGATGCAGCAATAAGGGAGGCGATACCGAGAACCCGGCCGCCGGCGTGCTATAGATCCTCTGGCACGCGTGCAGCTAGATAGAACAAGCGGGATGAAACGTGGCTTGTACAACAAGGGAAAAAGAAAATTTCAAACCGAAAGTTACGGCAGAGTCGAGGCGAAGTGCTAGCACTCTCGGGACGGGAAATCGGTAAGCCACAGAGACGAATGCGATCCGCGGAAGCAAAGCCCAGCAGCCGTCAACCCAGCCTGGCCGGGCATCGCAGCACGAGGCGGGCTAGCAACAACTGCCGCATGAGGCGCCAGGTAAAATAAAAATAAAAAACTCAGCCGCCCCTAGAACCGTGAAATACCCTGCGCCTCTCATCCTATGAACGGTCCGGAGGCGGACAGCCGAGGGTCCCATGCGCAAATCATGATCATACACTGCCGTGACTGTGTGTCTGCGAGAAAGGCACGTAAAACCCGTCCGTCCACCGCACAACTACGCCGACGCCCTAACCCCGTACCTCCTACCCGAGCGCCCGGCGGCAACACAACGCCTATTAGCCACGCGAAGGCGCGCTCCAAAACGGCACCGTCGCGGCTGGAATTGGGCCCGTCGGTCTGCTGCCCTCGCTCTCGTCTGCTCCCGCGCGCAGCCATCTAGAAGGGCCACGCCTCTCGCCTTCCGCTGTTCTTGCGTCGGTCGGCGACGAGTGCTCTTCGACACGCCACCCGAGGATAGATATAGACCGTTGCCTACCGCTCCGGGTACAGGGTGGGCCCGTTACGGGGGGCGGGGCCGGTCTACCGGGAGAAAAGCCGTAGGCAAGCATACGTGTACCTACCAATCAGCCAGGAGGCGTGAAATGCCTGATTGTGAGAATACATCGCAGCGTGCCCTCGCACATCATACCTTGTCTTCACAAAGTTCAAGACACGGCGATGAGCGAGTTCTTTGCGGTAGACCGACACGCCTGCGCCCCGCCCCTCCCACATGTTGCTATTCCGCCACTACTCCGTTGGCGCTCCCACCGTCACAGAGGCAGAGACACGTTTACACTTGCACGCGAGGCTCATCAAGCATTCGTATTCCGGATTTCATATTACTAGACGCAGCTACACTAGCGAGCTAGCCTGGCTCCAGAGGACGAGTGGGGGGGCTCTAGCCCGTCGCGAAGGAGGCAAGGGGGAAGAGAGAGAGAAGACTGGGAGGAGGGGGAATCGGTGCTATCCATCCCGCGCCAACCGCGTCTCGTCTCGCCTCGCCTCGCCTCGCCTCGTCGCGCGAAGTGTCCTCTCCCCACACCCAAGAGCGTAAAATCAGGCGCGTTCCGTTCACCTCCCCCTTCCTACCACGGAATGAGGGGGGCGCGGAAAAAGACCAGCGAAAGCAGACGGTAAGAGAACCGTTGACCGTGAGGGTAACAGACGAGAGAGAGAGAGAAATACTAGTGTCACATACACATACATGAACGTGCTGAGCAACGGAGGGAAGCAACAGGGAGCCTGAGTCCTTTACCCGCCTTCCCTTTCGGCGCGTAACGCGACGCTCTCGCCTGCTCGCGGTCACTTCGGTCTTCGTCTTCACCCTTCTGCCACGCCGACGCGTAATAAAAAAACCCGGCCCGTATGCCCGTCTCGTGTGGACGACGCATTTGGTGTAGGTGGATAGCGAGATGCCATCCCTGGGTACCGCCGATACATCAGAAGCAAGGAAAAGCGCGTGTAGATCCGACGGAAGGAGAAGCGCAAGTAGCGTGGTGGATGTACCAGTGGTAAGAAATATTAAAGTCGTGGGTTACAACGTATAGTGAGAGTAGTGTCATAAGCGTACCGTTTCCTCCCTTCCTCCCAAGCGGAAAGCTGGGAGGAAGGATGTAGGCTCGTAGAAGAGGTGTTCGGATTAACTCGTATAATGTGTAAATCGTGATTCGGACATTCCCCACGAGGTACGGGGTAGTGGTGGGCGAGACGGCGTCGCGTCGGGCGTCCATCGATCGGTAGAAGAGAGAATCGGCAAGAAAAGGTGGGTGGATGTCCTTGTAAACCGTGCGCCATGCATTTCTGAACACAGGGAAAGAAGTAATGAGAGTGCTCCGGTATGCGAGCACATCAGATGCCAGATCTAACAGAGCTCAGAGCAATGCAACCAACCGGTATGCTATGCAAATGCCTGTCTAATGCTGAAAAGGAAAAGAAAACAAACATGGGTATAATAAAAACAGTGTCGGTGCGACGACGAGCTCGACGAGACGAGCGGATATAAGACTAAACGAATTAAACGCAGGTCGCGAATGGTCGTGAGATTAACGGTGTGTCAGTCTCGAAAGCCCGCTAGGGCTCTAGTACGAGGCCATCCGACGGGCAGGCGAGCGGTTGTTGCCCAGGATGGGCGAGTTACCAATCATCATGCCCGGCGACGGCTGCTCGTGGTATCTCTCGGGGCCGGTGGGCGAGTCCTCGATCATGGAGTCGCGATGGCCAAAGGCGAACGTCTTGGCCCGGTTCAGTCCCTTGCGCTTCTGCTGCAGCTTGCCCAATTCGCGCTCGCACGTGTTGGCATGCTCTTCGGCGCCCATGGCAACATAGGCTTGGGGGTAGCATCGATCGCGGTGCTCGATGAAGAACTCGCTGTATCCGCCATCGAGGATGTACACCTCGGGGTACGTCAGCCTCGGGTAGAACTCAGCGTTAATCATCCGATCGGACGCGCGGATGTGACGGGCCATCATGGGCGCACGGCAGGCCGAGTACTCGCAATGGAAGACGAGAAGCGTCCGGCCATCCATTGGGTTCTCGAACAGATGTCGCGCTAGCAGCTCCTTGTCGTTGTAGTTGATGGCAGCATCGATATGGCCTCCATCATACTCGTACTCGAAGCGGCAATCGATGACCATCTTCTGCGTGTAGTACTCGTTGAACTTGCCATCGAGCACGTCAAGGAACGTGGCCCGGGAGATGCGAGGGATATTGTCGCTCTCGCCGTCGGGGTAGAAATGCGGCAAGACAGGGTCCTGCGGCTCCTCCACGTCCACGACAGATTGCAGATTGCTATGGGGGAAAACATCGTCGGCAGCGGCGTTGACGACATCATTGGGGTTATCGAACATGCTGAGCGATCGTCGGTAGGGACGGCGATTTCGGGCGAATGGGTTGGCCAGTTTGCGCGTGTGGTTGGCGACGGGCGACCCGCTGCTAATGTCCCGGCTGCCGGTGAGGCTCGCGAATTGTCCTTTCGACCGCGACGCGCCTGGGGGGGTAGGGCTGTTGGCGGACTGCGGTCGTCGGTCTTGCAGCGGGGAGGAGCCGAAGCATTCGCTGGGCGATAGCGTCGCAGAATTGGATCCGACACGAGAATCACCTCCGAGACGGAAAGACGGCGCCTGGTTCTCCTGCTGTATGCGAGCAAGAAGACCGTTCGTAGAGTGACCCTTGGTGCGTGTCAACGACGGCCGACGCATCCCAGGACGTCTACGGTTGCTGCCTCTGGTCAGCCGGGTATTAAAAAAAAACGAACCAAGATACCGAGTCGTGGACTTACTCAAGCAAGCCCAAAGCATGGCGTGGTGCGGGGATGGGGGATTCCATCATCATGTCGTCGTCAGGCGATCCGAGAGGAGTAGGCGAGGTAATCTCAGTGGTGCCGTAGAACGCCTGTTTCTGGGGCAAGGGAGAAATATCCATCGCATCACTCATGGGTGCGGGCGAGGAGGTAGCTGGCAGCGGGGGTGTGGTAGCATAGCCTATGACCGACCGAGATTAGCGCCTCTCAGCGTGATTAACCGGGCTATGCCCAGGAAAACGTACCGCGATTCTCCATGGCCTCCATCATGTTGGAGGTGAAGAGGGCCCGGCGCGGTGTGGGAAATCGAGGGCTAATTCACAGCGGTCAGTACACGAAACACGTCTCCATCCACTTCGCACGCCGCCTCTTCTCCCACCTACCTCTCCTCGTTATCGATGCGGAAATTCTGTGAGAGATCCGCAGCCAGGCTGGCGGCGGGAGACGAGCCACGGATCGACTTCAGATTGAAGTAGTCGGGCTTGGGCCGTTGCAATTGCTCACGGAGGCTGAAGGCGTTTCCGGCTTGCAAGCGGGAGTGCGGAAGCTGTCCCCAGTTCCCGGCCGGAGAGGCGCGCATCGCTGCCAACGGCGACGAGGAATTCATGGCTGCTTGGACGGGCGAAAATGGCTGGCGAGGAGGGTGTGTAAGACGGTAGCCCTATTCCTCAATGTCTACTACTTGCTTGCTTGCGAGTAACAAATCGACCATCTAAAATAGCGAGCCGAGCACGAGGGCGGTCTAAGGCCGTTCACCATTAATGGATGTTTCCCCTTCCCGTGCGCTAGCTTCCTAATCTTGCTACTGGTCTGGCACCGGCCGGCCACGGAGCGGAGGATAATGGCGTCAAGCGATCGTCAGGTCTAGGAGAGCGAGGAGGGGGTGTAAGCTAGCGGAGCTATGCCGGAACTGCGGATGCTCGGAGGGGGAAGAGGTCGAGATGGCACTTCCGATGTCCAGTTTACAGCAAGACGCTACCTGTCGGGTGATGTCCCTGAATTCAGTCTCAGCACCGGCTCTCTCTCGCTGTCTCTCCAGCTTCCCGACTGACGCTCTCGGCACGTCCCAGGTTGACGAATTGGGTCACAGGCAGTAGGATCTCAGACATCCGGTGCAGGCCGTAGGAAGGAATCCAGTTCGCGCAGCGTCCGTCCGGGTGTAATTGTACGTACCTCGTGCCTGTCCTACGGGAGCGGGAGCCTGCTTGGTTACGAGAGCGAGAGGAGGGGAATAGCGGTTGCCCGGGGTAGCTGAGGATGGAGAGGTAGTAGGCGTGTCGGGCCCACGAGGGCAATTGGGAGACAGGTGAGTGTATTCGGCTGCCTTCCTATCCGGGACACGAGAGCATCGGGTTAGGAAGTTAGGTCGACAACGGCAGATCAATCGTTGATCCGGGGTAGGCCTCGAGGAATCCGGAGCCAAGGAGGGCAGAAAGAATAATTAGGCAGGTCCTCGTCGGCAACGATACTCTCCAATGCTATACCACGTCCTCTGGTGGGGGGGGCACTGTGAAAGCTGTGAGCCGTCCTGGTAGAGGCAATGGCAAACCGTGGAGGGGGGAAAAGGACGAGGAGGAGGAGCCGGAGGCGACAACAGGATGTCGTCGACGGCAACAGGAGGGGACGGGGAGGAGGAAGGAGAGGAGCGAGGCAAGGTAAGAGTCGACAAGCAAGTGAGAAGCAGAACAGGAAAGCTGAAGTTGAGGTGGAAGGGCTTTTGATGCTTTTTGTTCTGGCGCCGGCGCTGTGCGGGCTTAAGCTGTGTTGTGTACAGAAGCAGAGCATGTAAGCTGGGTGGAGTGCGGACACTACCACCCACGCACACAGAGGTACAAGAGCTACTATGGCGGCGGCAGCAGTGCGGGAGGTACCAGGGCGGTTGCGAAGGTAACGGTGTCGGGTGGGCATCCAATCGCAGCGGCCAATGGCTAGCGGAAGTGCCCACCAGCCGGCCGTCGTCAGGGCAATTCGCTGGTGGTGCCCGCCCGTGGCTGGAAATGGCAGTTGGCAGGGCATGGCTAGGGCCTGTAGAGGGGCCCTGCAGCGTGGGTTCGGGGCGTGGGTTCAGCGCCGGGTCGGGCTGGGCTCACTGTTTTACACGCCAAGGCGCAGGGGCCTGGCACGGGCGTAGGCGTTGGTGGGTGCGGCGGGGGCATCTGCAGGCCTATCAGGCTCGTACCGCTTAGGTACCTCATAGGTATGTAAGGTACCTACGGAGGTGTGGAGATGGGTATGTAGGTGCAAGGTAGTGCTGCGTACGACGCCAGGTGCGTAGGTACATCCGATCTACAGCTGTTCCTGCAGCACGGCAGCATCTCCACACCCATTCGGTCTCCCTATGCTGCGTTAGCTACCGAGGTAGGTACCTACTACCGCACCGCCCAGCTACCTCTTACCTGCCTTAGGTCCCTACCTTAGGTACCTACGATAGGCGCTGTTACCTACAAAAAAGGCACCGGGTTTCCAGGCGGTGTGAGCTTGTAATTGCCGCCCCAGCTTGGAACTGTCCTCCCCTGCCGTAGCGCTGCCTGCTACCCAGCACAGGTACCATTACAGGTACCATTACAGGTGCCTGCGTACCACCCAAGTCCCTACGATATACCTACGATATGAGAAGACAACCCCGTCCGCTGCCTTTACCGTTTTCACCTCACCCGGACCCGTGAAGTGGGTTGGGCGTGGGTTTATTTGTCTGTATTTGAATTGCTTGCATCCGTATCCATATCCGCAATACATACCTACATGGGCTGCTCCTACAGCCTATACTTATACGGAGTCGGCGCCCCATCCATACATGCACTTAATGTTGTTACCCAGGTGAAGAAATTGGATTAGAATAAGCCGCCTACCCAGCAATCCCATCTAATATCCCAACATGGCGTTCCTTCGTAGCCATGCTTGCCTGGTGACCCGCAGACGGCGAGCAGAAGTCCCTCCGGACATAAGAACGAACGAACATCCATATGGGTGCGCGTACATGGGTACACAGAGGACGCTGACTCCAACCTTCTCCTCCCGGTGCTGCTAACCGCGTGCATCATTGCCCGGGTACCGGGAGAAGTGAGCAGCTAGAAGGGCAGCCTAAGATCCCGTCAGCCAAGACAGTTCATCCGTACGAGGTGTTCGATCACCCGTTCATCACGAGAGAGAGAGAGAGAGAGAGAGAGACATGTTCGTCCGATGGGATGGCGGCCCTGGGAATTGCCTACATATTCTTATTCATGATCCGAGAACGAACGTATCCGAGATTGCGCCGTCGTCGCCATTCCTTCTTCCCTCAACCACTCATTCCCGAACTTCCTTCTCGCGTGTGCGCATCCAACTACTTTACTCGTCATTGTTGCTACCTCTTCCCCACCGTCGCCACGTTCTGCACTATATGCCCTGGGTAGAGAGAACATACCTACGTACTTGAGTGAGGAGAAGGAAAGGGAAGAAAACCCCGGCGGCCAACTTAACCGCAAGACTTCTAGTGCATATTCCAGAATCGAAGCAGAGTGCCATCCGTTGCTAGCTTTATGCGCTTCCCGATTTGCCCTGCATAAGACAGGGTGCCGTTAGTTGGTGCAGGAGGCATGCCTACCTACATCCTCCATCCTCCACACACACATACACATACACACATACACATACCTACACACCACTTACACGGACACATCGCACCCGCCATATACACAGTTGTCGATCATCTTGCAGATATGGGTTGATGTGTGTGTGTGTATGCGCATGCAACTTTTCCTACATATATATCATGCCCACCAATCCGTCTGCCAGGGCTGAGCTCGTTGACCCAGTTACCAACCAACTCCACAACTAGGGCGGTCCCATCCCGCAAATACGTACACCCATACACCAAGTGTATATATATGTGCGTAAACCCACACCGTATGAATGTATCGGCGTCGGGATCTGGGCTAGGTAGGAAAGCAGTCGACAGGTATAAAGATGGTGCATAAAATCAACATGTACCTGGGTTCGCTATCAATACGTGTCTCCTCCTACGTGCTCAAGTATTTCGTATTGCACGATAACTTCAGACTACTATAGAAGGACTTCCCCCCTTCCCCCCCCCCTTTTTTTTTTATCCCACCCGGTGAAGGAGACTTGTCATTCCTGATCCTCGCCAGCCTCGCACCCAGCAACAGATGTCCGTCTCCTGTTTTAGGCAATACCCGGCCAGCAAACGGAGTCCTTGTCTCTGCTGTCGAGGGGCCCCACCCGCCCATCTCACGATGTTTGGTAAACCCGGCCGCACCACCGCGACAAGGTTCGGTGGCCGGGCTGAGACGAGCTACGGCGGGCGGCAAGTTTCGAAGTGCTCGTCGAGGTGGTATGGGCGAGCCAGCCCTCTTCTACCACGGCATAACCCCTCTCCTGCTGTTCCCCGGCATCGACGTCGCGGACGTCGTCTCTGCCTTCCACCCCGGCTCGAAAACATCTCGCCATGTCTCGCCTTCGCTACTAGAAACAGGTATCTGCTGCTGCCGCAGTGTGGGGGGGAAGACGCCGGCGACGATTCGCCGAGCAGAGGGAACGGACTGTCTTGGGCCAAGATTTGCGTGGTTCACATACCACGTGTGTCCAATGCCTCGGGCGGGCACTGGCTGATTCACTGTCTCGCCGGCTCGCGGGTTCGGTATTCCCACAGCGCTACAGATATGCGGTAGACACGTACGCCGCGACTCCTAATCGCCTGCATGCCCATAATATATACACAGGCCTACCAGCACTCTCTCGTCTAAGGCGAAACCGGGCCAAGTCTGCCAGCTCCTGGCCGCGGCCTCGTCGGCAGTTGAGCTCGTATCACCCGGGAACCTGAACCGTACATAGGTCACACACCGAGCCTTGCCATTCGCCCTCACAGCTCTGCTACCCCGGATTTTGGGGTCCTTGAGGAACCATATAGCCCAACCCGATCGGTGCGCATTCCGATGTATACATATGAATGTGTTCGATGTGCATAGCATTGTTCGTCCCTTATGTAGGCCCATGGCACCCAGCACATGCATACCTAGGTACATGGTAGAGATGAGCATGTCCACCATACATAACTACCCACCTGGGTAGCATATAACGTATACATGTATGCGTACAACGTAGTATGTACAATAGAGGTGCAGCCTCTGACGGGTTTCGTGGAAGGATTTGCCTCGGGGTTCTGGCTTCGTGAGCCCGGCGTTGCTATGGGATGCTGACGAGCACCATCCCAGCAAGCTAGCTTGTCGGCGTGGGTGGGCTGCGTAGTATTGCTTCTCTTCCCCCTTTGCGGTTGGGATACAATATATAGGCCAACGTACGTATGAGTATGCATCAAGAAATTACAGGAACCTCTTACCGAACCGCACCGACCCGTAGGTGTCCCTTGCTCCTCGGTCCCTGGATTTTTTCAACACTCTTTTTTTTGCTCCTCGCCGCGTTGGCCTGAGCACCGAGCGGCTACCTACAGCTCACACCTGTTGGCGGAGCAATGACGCTTATGGCTATTTCGGAAATTCTCTGCGGCGTGTCTCGCCATGATTGGAGTCCGCTGTCGTAAAGTCCCCAGCAGCGAGCCGTAGGAGAGGAACCGAACCCGAAAAAAAAGGACTCAGAGTTCTACGTCCGCCAACGACGGGGCGTAGTACCTAAGCCACGGATAAAGACGAAGGAATGAAGATGCCCCGTGTACATTGTAAATACATGCTCAATTATGCCTCGTCCAGCTTCTAAGCGCTCAACAGCCTCAATGCGAGCCTCATTCGGAGAATTCCTCCT